TTCCAGAATTGTAACGAAGCCTCTCGGTGAGCGTTATGTGGCACATTTCCCGAACATTAGTGCATATATCGATTGCATTAGTGAATTTTAAAATAGTTGATCCTTTCAACTGATATTCGGCGAATTATAACAAAATTTATGGAGAGTTGAAACGCTTTTCCTTCTTCCTCGTCTCGTGAGTGAATTTGTTTACTTATTTCATCAAATTTAGTTCGACCACAGTTTATTGGAAAACTCAATCCAGGCTCTTTTTGAAATTTGACCCAGCTAGGCTTGCTGAGAGTTAAAATACGTGCTCCTTTCATTTTTTTGAACAACTTAGGTGCTTCAGAAGCTGTTTTATTGAATTATGAAGATGTTTTGTTTTTCTTTCTAATATCTCAGCCATGTTAGAAGATTTCTTAGTTTTGCTTTCGTCAAATTGGACGTATCCAAAGCGCACACAAGACACGTAATTTTTTCATTTTTTTTTGGTATGTAATTTATAATTTTTTAGGCTTTAAAATGTTTAATATTTTTTTAACCAAACCCATGTTATGATGAAAAAAATATATGCTATGTGTCTTTAGTAGATCTACCTGTATGAATTTTTTAATAATGTTTGTGGGGATCAAATGGGCTTCAAAAAACTCAAAATCTATTTTTTCTATATTTCCGCTATTTGTTTAGAAAAAACTTTCATTATATTTTTATTTTATTTTCCTGAACAAAATATGTTTCAAATTATTTTTGAATTGTGAAGATTTTAGAGGATCCGGTCAAACAATTTTTTTTAATTTGCCTCGATTCTTTAGTAATATATCTACCAATTATAATTTTGTCAGGTCATAAATTTTACCGGTTTATCTGAAATATTTACAATCCAAAAGCTATATGAAACCTCTATAAGTTGAAAAAATAAAAGATAATAAAACTGATATGTTTTTCTAAAAATGTCGAAAAATAGCAAAAAATTGATTTACAATTTTTTGACCGCTTATCACCCCCTCAAAAATCATGAAAAGATTCATGAAGGTAGGCTCACTAAAGACACTTTTATTATTAAATATTTTCAAAGCCAAAATAATGAATTTTGAACCAAAAATCTTTGAAAAGAATTGTATTTTATGCACTCTTCGGAGATTGTTGATTTGGCTCAAGCAATACTAAATAATATTCAAATGCGAGTGAGATATTTGAAAAGAAAAACGCAAAAACTATATTATTCAATAAAACAGTTTCTGAAACACCTAAGTAAATACAGAAAAGAGATCGTATACGTCTTTTTATTCTCAATAAGCCTAGCTGGGTATCATTTCTTAAAGTAAAAAGGTCGATTACCCCCCTTAAGCGCCAAAACCCTTTCGTGTTGAAAGTATTGATTAGCAAGGATATCAAAAATCATACGGAAAATGGTTGCAGCTTCTGAGAGACTTAACCGATTGCCCTTAAATACTTTATTATTCTACTTTCCCACAACTTTTAAACAGATGAACAAATTTTCATCAATCATAGCTAAAAACCACCTCGACAAACAAATTTTAGATAGAAAAAACGCATTAAATCGGTTCATCCGTAGTGTTGGGGAGCTATGATACATACGATGTTTGTTAAAAAATTATCGCGAATTTAATGTTTTTTCAAGAATTAGTTATTTATTCATGAATATCTATTTTGTCCCCTCCAAAGTAATCCCCATTAGACATTATATACTTACTTGTGACAACGCTTTTTCCAATCCTCGAAGCATTTTGATAAATCTTTTTTTGTGATCTTGTTCCTTCGATGCCGTCTTTATCTCCTCAATCGTCGCGTAGAGTCGTCCTTTCATGGGATTCTTCAGTTTCGGGAACAAGAAAAAGTCTCAGAGGGTGAGGTCTGGGGAATATGGTGGGTGAGGCAGTATTGTAGTGTTTTTTTTGGCCAGAAATTCGCGCACAAGTAACAATGCATGAGCAGGGGCGTTATCTAGGTGCAAAAGCCAATTTTTGTTCTTCCACAAATCCGGGCGTTTCTGGCGGATTGCTTTTCGCAAATTGCGCATTACTTGAAGGTGATATTCCTTATTAACCGTTCTAGCCTGCGGCAAAAACTCATCAACGTTTTCGGAGACAAAAATCGGAGACAAGCTAAAACACGTCCACGCACAATAGCTGTCAAAAACTGACTAAACATGCAAAATGGCCGATATTGTCAACATTAGTGAGCGTCATGAGTACCAACATAACGCCATAAAAAGATCGAAAATCGAACGTAGCCCGCGAAAATTCAAAATTTGCGATACTTTTTGAACAAACCTCGTACACTCTTTAAGATTATAATGCCCTTAGTTGTGCGTCAAGGACGTCGCGGACTCAAGATGGACGAAATAATTGTTGTAGTTTCAATATCCCTCGAAATTGTATAACCCCTACTTGTTATTATTTCCGTTCATGTGTTATATAATGTAAAAGAGAATATGGTTTCATTACCTGTTCCCTGTTTCCAGCTCATCAAAATCAAAATGGACTAGACGTTTGACTTGCGTGATATTGAATCATAAAATATCATGATACTATTTATAATCTAGGAAGGTGTATCTTCATACTTTCAGAGTAGCAAAGGATAGATACAAATTGTCGATCCCTACATTAATTTTATGGCTTCGCTTTAGGTAATTAACAGAATGCCGTTTAGAAAGTTTCGATATTCGAATTTCCCAAAATCGATTTAACTTTTCCTGACATTATTTGAGTGGGGTTTCAGAATGAATTGCACTTTAACATTGCTACTTTTTCTCCTCTACAAGTCGGCATAATTAGAATTTCATTATGAAGCACTATCGTCTCTTGTCCTCCAGCATCAAATTTATTTTTCGTCATAGACACCATATTGGATAGAGTTTTTAATTTTGATTTCAAAAATGTATGACACGTCATACACTGACATTGCCAAACCTTTCAGAAAAGCGGAATTTCCTAGGTATGCCTTTTGTTTGGCATACCGGATTTATCCCAAAATCATTTTCTTTTTTCCTGACTTCATTTGAGATGGGGCTTCAAAATAAATTGCATGTTGACATTGTTACAAGAGAGCTTCGTAAAATTTTCAATTCGAGATTTCTTCTTTCGACTCTCATCACCAACTTTGTTTTTCATATGGACGCTATATTAGAATTTTGTACGCTTAAATGGATTTTTCAGTTCTAAATTCAGTGATGCATTTGCTTAGTTGTTCATGAATTTGTTCGGGTATAAATTATAAGGACATAATTATAATTTTATTGATGCTAATAACAATAATAATCAAAAATAATCAGCGATTAATCATAACAGACTAGTGCAGTTGCTAGCATGCTAACGCTATGCTAAATATTGTACGTTGATGTCTTCATTTAAAACCTCCCGTGGTGAGTTGCTGGTATGCTAATGCAATGCTAGCGATATACTTAATCCCTATCTTTAATCATTTTCTATCGTTTAGCATTTTTGATCTTACATGTATCCTTTATTCTTTATCTTTAACATTTCATCTGTTATCTTCTAACTATCTTGTTTCTGTTACCTATCTGTTATCTGTTATCTATTATCAATTGAACTCTGTAGTGTGTTATTTCAAGTAGTTTTGTTTGAAAGGATGCATCCATATCAGCAATAAATTGTAATGCTTGTAATTTACTTACTGACGAAATGCTATTTTTTAGTTTAGTAATGGTGAAGAGTGTTTCTTGCCTCGATATCTGAATTACAAACAGGTTAGCCTTATCCTAAAAACCGGTCATACAAAACCCTAAAAGCCTGATTGATAAAAAATTAGTGGAAAGGTAAATCAAGAAGTGTTGAATCTAAAATTTTTGGGAAAATGTTCATTTTGGGTTTTTTACCAAACTGTTAAAAAGAAACTAAAAAAGCAATTGGCCAGTTAGATAATGACAAAACCTGACATCATAATTTTTTCAAATGAGGAATTCAATGCTCTATCTAGAACAGTTGTAAAAGAACAAGTTGCCAAACATGATATATTGTCAAATATCTCAAAAATTAGAAACTTGAAATCTATAGTGTGTGATTTCAAGTTGCTTCTTTTCAACTGATGTATCCATATCAGCAATAAATTGTATTACCTTGTATTTCAAGAAATGCATGTTTAGGACACCGCACAGTTAACAGTCACCCTGTAGTAGAAAAAAAAATCTTCGTGTAAAGAGCATACTGTTGGATACAACATCTTTAATTATCTATTTGCTTTACTGTAGGTATTTCTATATATAATTTTTTTAGAAAACGTTTATATTACGTTTTAGCCCACCCAGTATAAAATGTTAAAAACCCTAAAAAAGTAATTGGATAGGAACAAAACATGACATCATAAATTATTTTAACACACAATTCAGTACTCTAGCTACAACAGTTTTGGAGATGTTAAAAATTTTGTCCGCTATTTTGTAGGCTAAAGCCAGACTCTTCTCTGTACACTGCTCATTGGTCGATTTATTTCTTTTGTGTCTTCCAAACTCTGTTACTGTGTTCAATTTGAGGTCTGATCTGGTATACGAAACAAGTGACTATCTGAAAATCTCCAAACCCAGAACCTTCTGATTTTCTGCAATAACTAAGGCTTGAAAATGTCAATGTATGACATATTATACATTTTTGAAATCATAATTAAAAGTTCTATTCATCTGCGAACTAACAAAAATCATTATGAAATCCATAAGAAAAAATAAAGTTGATGCTGGGGAACAAGAGATGAAACGTCATGTCAAAATTCTAATTTTGCCACCTTGTAGGGGAGAAAAAAAATGCTTGGCCTCAGGTCAAGAAAAACAATAAAAAAATCATGTCAAGCATTAACGTTCCAAGTCTATTTATTTTCAAGTTGTCTGTCCTTGATTGTACGGACGAAACTAGAACACGGTTACTTTATTTTAATATCAAGCTATTTTACTTGATAAATCGCTAGTATCTTGTACATAGCGTGGAAACAGGTTTTATGCTTAGGAAAACAATTTTTTTAAGCCGCCCTGTATATCCCTATTGCAGGACAAAGACTCAAACCTAGGCATTCAAGTCCTGCAAAGCCTTTTGTCGCACCCGAACATCGACGTGAACGTCACCGACGGCGACAAGCGTACGCCACTGGTCTGGGCGGCGAGCGCGGGCTCCGCCAGGGCCGTACTGGCCCTTGTGCGCGCCGGAGCTTCCGTCGAGGCTGCAGACAGGGACGGACTCACTGCGTTGCATTGCGCGGCTTCACGAGGACATACCGACTGCATGGATACGCTTTTGACGCTGTGCGGGACATCGACGGATGTCATTGACAGCAACGGGTGTACCGCTTTGCATTATGCTGTTACGTTGGGTGAGTGTTTGGCAGGATTATAGAATATTTTTATGGGACTCATCATTAGATCGCAAGAGTTTGATTTTAATGCCTAGTTTTTGTACAAGTATACAATATTATGTGTTCTTGCTTTCGTTTAATATTCATTGATTCTTTCATCATTTCGTCGCCTCAATGCAGAACTATAGTAAGTCCAAATTTTGAGAAAATGCGTTTATTACATTACATAATAGCTTGAAGCCATATTTATTGGATGCAGAAGTATTGTAAGTCCACGCGCAGTATTTCCCCCCTCCGCTCGATTTTTGATATATTTGGTGTAATAGCCCAAGGCGCGTCAGTCCGGTGCAGAACTATGATAAGTAGAGAGGGTATTGTATGTTGAGAGGAAATGTGGACTTAGAATAGTTCTGACCTGTTTGCCTGGACATACAATATTGGGTTGACGGACTTAGAATTATTTGAAAATTACAGTGAAAATTAAAAAATTATTATTAATAATGACTACCAGAAGAGATAAAATTTTTGATTTGTTGAAAAAACATCCAGTGATAAAAGAGGTAAGTTAATATCCCAGTTATTAAATTTTAATTAAAGAGTTCTACTATTATACTATTATTTTATTATTTACTAATTCTACTATTAGATTAATATCTAATAGTAGAATATAATGTAGTTTTTATATAATTATAATTTAAAAATAATTTCAAAAGCTTGTTTTTTTTAGAGCCACTTAAACCTCTGTCTTTCTTGAACAGTAGTCAGGTTCCTGCAAAAAATAATACCAAATCAGGAGAACCCGAAATATGTGATGCTAATGTAAACTTTTCACAGTCTTTACCAGAAGCATCACATTTAAAATTCACTAATGCCCCAGGTAAGGCTCTAAAAATTATGTTTTTTTTTAAACATTGCTTTACATTTAGGTATCTTTAAAAAGGGCATAATATAAAATTAAATTAATTTTTTTGTTGTCTTTTTTTATTATCCTTAATTATAATTAGGTAGTAGTATATTATATTTAAACCAACAAAAAAATTTTTTGTTAATTTTTTTAAAGTTTTAGAGTCCGCCAAGTTAAGTTTTGGTACAGCCACGTGTTTCAAGCTTGCCGAAGTTGTTACCCTGGTAAAGGCGTGATTGGTTGGAGTGACAAAAGTTTTTCGTTTATTGATTTATGATATATTTTTACTGTATATGAAAAAATTGGCACGCCACTATTACCTACCGCGGTTTTAATAGGGTAAAAACTTCGGCAAGCTTGAAACACGTGGCTGTACCAATCCTTAACTTGGCGGACTCTAGTAACCCTAACGTTGGTAATAAAACTTAGACTCTGACAAATCTAGAAAAAATAAAAGCAACCCTTTAATTATTACTTCCAGATCCTCATTTTTCCAAAGAGAAATGTTTCTCAAAACTTATGATGGACTCCGCTAATATACAACCTCCTTCATCTTTAATTCCATATGAAACAACGACGCTAATTGCCGATATAAATTTTGGCTCCCTCTTTAACTCCCTCCAAACCAATGGCTCTGAGCTATTTGCACAACAAAAACACGATATTGAAGAACAAGTTAATGTCGAAGATCATGAGCTAAGTGATCAACTATCTTTAATATCAGAGTTAGAAGATTTGGAAGATCCGTTTGCGAATTCCAGTAGCGAAGATCCCGATTTCGTTCCCTCGGATGAAAACGAGGATGTGCAAGAAAATCAGGCTGATGTTGAGGGTAAAAGCAAAACAAGGAAAAGGAAAAGGCAGAAGAGTGGTTGGAAAAGAAATATTATTAAATCTGCCAGGAATAGTGGAGCTGAATACAAAAACTAGAATGGAAATTTTCAGAATAAAAGGAGTATCAAGCCTGCTTGTCAAAATTGTAGAAAGAGATGCAATGAGAACTTCTCAGAAGAAGGACGCTCTGCAATATTTAAAGCTTTTTGGGATTTACAGGACATAAATAGACAGCGTGATTATATTGCCAAGAAGGTTAGTGTTCAAAATGCACAACGTTCTCGTCCGAGATCAAAAAAATCAGAACATGACAACTTAGCTAGCAGAAGGCTAGTTACTTATAGATACATGCTCACATACAACGAAAAAACAGTTCCAGTATGTAAAACATTTTTTCTAAATACGTTGAGTATAAGTGGACAGATGGTAGAGACCGTATTTCAGAAGATGGGAAGTACTGGTGTGGTAACCGAAGATAGAAGAGGCAAAGCCTGTAAAAACTCTCAGCTAGATGAGACAATTAAAGATTCGGTAAGATCTCATATAAATTCCTTCGAAACGATCGAAAGCCATTACTGCCGAAAGTCTACTGAGCGAAAATATTCACCATCTTCCTTAAATATTTCTAAAATGTACACTTTTTATCAAGAGTTTTGTACAGAAAATCACATTGCTAAACCAGCTTCTGAAAGTATTTACCGGGAAATATTTAACAGGGAATTTAACCTTTCATTTTTCCAACCCAAAAAAGATTTGTGCGATACTTGTCACAAATATGACAACTCATCGGTGGAGAAAAAAGCAAAAATGGAAGAGCAGTATTTGTTGCACGACAAAAATAAAAAAAATCCTTCAACAAGTTCTGCCAGTACCCCAATCAAATGTAGGTTTGGCCTATTATAAGCTTAAATTATCTATCTATCTATAATTTTACAATCTTTAACCTAGCCACTAAAGAATGTCAATGTTATATGTGGTATGAGTCAATTGATAAAAGGGGCTCATCTGAAATAGGTAGCTGTTTGTAGCTCTTTGTTGAAATTCAAGTAAAAAAAGGAGCTAGAGAGTTTTCCTTTTATTCGGACAATTGCGCCGGGCAAAACCGAAACAAATTTATTTTTGCTTTATATAACTATTTATCGCAGAAATACTCTATAACAATTCGCCATACATTTCTTGAACCTGGACATACCCAATCTGAAGGCGATAGTGTCCACAGCGTCATTGAAAGGGTCTCCAGAAACATTCCAATATTTACACCAGATCAATGGTATACACTAGTAAGAACGGCTAAGAAAAAATCACCATTATATTGCATCCAGGAGTTATCTCAAGATGAAGTATATGACTTAAAAGATCTTCAAATAAAAACAGCTATTAATTTTGATAGAGACGAGGATAACGATAAAGTTTACACAAATAAGTTTAAAATAGTCATGTTTGATCCAAACGTCTCAAATGTTTCATTTTTTAAAACACAGTATGACGGTACTTTTAAGAAAATAAATTTGTTAGAAAAGGGAAGGAAAAAATTTAATATTCAGGTTTGTGGTGTACACCTCAAATGTCTCTATGATAAAAAAATTCCTCTTCAAAAGGAAAAGTATGTAATCTATCTCTGTGAAAAAGGAGTCATAACTACTCCGTATCATGATTTTTTTAAAGCTTTACCGTTTACAACTCAATCTAATAAAAACGATGAGGATAGTGAATAACCTATTTTAAAATACTTAGTTAAATTTCCATGTTATGTTATTTTTTTAGGTTTAATTCTAAAATGTATAATTTAGGCCCCTATAAGGTTTCTCCTATAAATCCTGATTCCTATTAGGTTGTAAGTTTTGAACAGTGTGTTCTTTTATTTAATTTAACATAATTTCTTAGTTTTTGTTTGGATATTTTGAGTTGTTATAGAATCCTTAAAATACCTATATATTTTATTTTTATATAAAAATAAAATGATATGTTATAAAACATAAAAGAAATATAAGTTTTGTTTACCAAAGATTTTGCTTTTATTTTAGAACTATTGTAAGTCACATTTCATTATCTATTGTAAGTCCACAATACCTAAATTGTTATGTAATATTGTAAGTCCATAAATTTGATTATTCATAAACATGGAGTCTAAAAGTTATTAGCATTAATCTCGTACTTTAATTTTAATATAGATTCATGACTTTCATTGACAAATATAATTTAGTTTAAGAAAAAAACAAAAAATACCTTTTCCTGTAAAATTTGCTTTTTGCGACTTACAATAGTTCTGCATTGAGGCGACGATTTATTGATATCTGAGCTTCGTGCACAATTAACCAGATCAATTAGAAGTGAGAAGTGCCCTGGGTAGCCTGGCTTGAAGCCGTACCATAGACAGTGATTTTTATTCAACTTTTAATCGATGAAATGCATTCAAATGAGACGAACAATACACATGACTATCACCACTGCAGTCATACCTCAAAATGTTATTTCCGAGGGCGAAGTTTAGCTCGATACTCTGACACACCAGCCTACCCAGGTTCCCCTTTAGTTTTATATCATTCTGTGCGGAAGAGACCTTTGTATACACAAAAAATAAAAATTTAGTTGACGAAAACGCTGTTTTAAGCTAACAGTTTCAATCACCTCGCAAAAACGGACCTATAGTTATATGATGGAATCACTCCTGTTATCTATCTTCGCCAAACCTACCACTGCCATCGAACTAGGAACGGCAACGATGCATCGATATATAGAAAATTGTACGTCGAGATCGAAGTGATCGAAAACATCGGTGTACCTCCCGTATCTAAATGAGAAACAGGATGTCGAAGTTTCCTTTACCCATTATCTCCGCGAATACATAGGAGATGTTCCCTTGCAGGTCATGCAGACGCAACTGCCCTTTTGCTGGCACATGGCGCAGACCCGAACAAGCAGGATAGGAAAGGAAGAAGTCCTGCTCATTGTGGCTGCGCTAAAGGACAATTTGAGACTGTCAAGCTAATCGGTGAGTCTATATAAAATAAAATTCTTGTAATGCACGACCAAAAACTGTGATCATAACATTTGGCACTAGTAGTACTATATTAAATTGAGTATATCAAGATGGAGGAGAGTAACGTAACGTGTGTGCTTCTGATGACGCGGCGTAATTCACTCACCGCAGGGGTATTACGTATCTTCAACAGTGACATTATGTCGGTTTTTTGACTTTATTTAGGCTTTTTGTGACGTTATCTAGGTTTTTCTACAAGTTACCAACTTAGAATTAGCTGTTGTTCCATTGATGTGATTGTAGCCGAACGTGCTGCCTAAACATCATGATACTTCAACGCGGTATAGACTATTATAGAAGCACTAATGCGGAGATGCATAGCATCGAAGCAGCTTCTGTGGTGGTCAATATGGCGGGAGGTGTCTCGTTGAAGATCACATCGGTGTATGTCAGGTGAGGTGCCAGGCTACAAGAGCCGAATCTGGAGGTCCTTTTGGTCTACTCGGGTCCGCTTATTGTGGCAGGGGACTTCAACTGCAAACATCGAGCATGGAATTCTAGGTTGAATTTCACTAGTGGGGTTCGATTGTACAACCATGTGATGCGAAATGGGTACCTTATACATAGCACTGAAGAGCCGACACATCATCCATTCAACCATCTTCAGGCACCAGATGTCATCGATTTCGCGATATCTAAAAACTGTAGATACAGTATCTCTTCTCGAATCTTGTATGATATCTCTAGTGACCATCTACCTGTTGTCTTGGATGTGGGCACTGAGCAAACTTCTGAGGAGGCAGCTCCTCCAAGGAAACGCATTGATTGGGACCTATACAAGTTGCTCCTTAGAGAGTTTCCCAATATCCCGATTATAGATGATGAGTCTGGAATAGATACCGCTCAAGCGGAGTGGACAAGTTTCATTCAAGCAGCTCTACAGCGTGCAGCTGTATTTCCTGTACAAAAACACGGCAGACCTTTTTTGCCTGCGGACATTCGTCAGAAAATCTCTGACAAAAGAGGCGCTATTAAGCAGGCAAAAAGGTCTTGTCATCCTGATTACATTCGTAGGGCTACAAATCTTGTCCATGAAGTGAGAAACGCACTGCATGAACTCCGCAACGAGAAATGGAGCGACTTTCTGGCGGGAATGCTTGATTTAAGTATTCCTCTCTGGAGGATCGCAAAGTCACTCAGAAACGGAAAGCGAGAACAACTCCCACACATCAACGGTCCTGAAGGCATAGTCTTCAGAACGGAGGATAAGGTCGAGGTTTTCGCTGATGCCATGGAAAAACAGTTCTCTCCCAACTATGATCTCGATAATGACATCGACGAGGAACGGCACATCGTACGATCCGTCAGGAGATATTTTAGGGCCAACGGCGTTAGCGGAGGCACTGAATCCTCTTCAGATGACTCTTCTTCAGAAGATTCGTCTGAGGCTCCACATAGCACATTAGCGGAACCCTCCGAGTTTCCACATTGCACACCAGCGGAGCTCCTAAGTCATATTAAAGACCTCAAGGTGCGTAAAGCACCTGGGGAGGATCAAATCATCAACAATGTGTTGAAGCTGCTCTCGCCGAAAGCCGTGACATACTTGGTGACAATAATCAATCAATGCGACGCTCAAAATCCAGTACTTCCCTGCTGGGTGGAAGACTGCTGATGTCATCATGATTCCAAAGAAGGTGGGTTCGATATTTCCTTAGGATTACCGTCCCATAAGTCTGCTGTCAGCTCCTTCTAAGCTCGCCGAAAAGGTGATTTATCGTCACCTTGAGAATTTTTCGTCAAATCACCATGTGATTCCTGACGTCCAATTCTGTTTTCGGTCCGAGCATAGCACCGAGCTACAGGCAGTCAGTCTAGTGGAGCATGTAACCAGAGGGTTCACTGTCAGCATGAGTACTGGCATCTTGCTTTTGGATGTCTCAAAAGCCTTTGACAAGGTGTGGCACGCGGGCCTCCTCTATAAACTAATCCAAAAGGGTTTTCCTTTTTGGCTTATAAAATTACTGAAATCCTTTCTTGAAGGAAGGAAGTTTCGGATCAAAATTAACAATGTTTTGTCAACAACACGGCCAGTACGGGCCGGTGTTCCTCAGGGTTCGGTCCTAGGACCAATTCTTTATTCGTTTTCATCCATGATGTCCCTTCCCCCAGCAACTGTGAAGTCTACCTCTATGCTGACGACACTGAACTTGTCGCCCAGTTGTGTACTGGTGATCTGGTTCACGATGGGTTGCAGAATGCGGTGGACTAAGTTCTAGAGTGGGCGGAACGGTGGCTAATAAAAATTAATCATTCGAAAACGCAGGCTATTTATTGTACCAAAGAACGTCGCGGCCCCCCAGCAGAGGTTTCTGTAGACGGAAATCGTGTACCATGGACAAATTCTGCCAAGTATCTCGGTGTCACCCTTGATAAAGGCATGACCTGGCAGAAACATACAGCATCCATAAAAACAAAATTCCAAATTGCGTTTCGGCAACTATATCCTTTGTTATGTAGATCCTCCACATTGAGTTTGATAAACAAAGTTCGACTATATAAAATGATTATTTGACCAGCCATTACTTATGCATGTACGGCTTGGTGTTTTCTTGCCAAGACACACATGCAAAGTCTTCAAGTACTGCAAAGCAGAACTTTGTGGACAATTTGCAACGCTCCATGGTATGTCTCAAATGAGACACTACACAGAGACCTTGACATTCCTTACTTGAGGGATTATGTCAAGCTTCAGGCGCAGCGACGTTATAGTCAAGCGGAATCGCACAGCAACCCTCTGTTGCGTGACTCAGTGGACTACACAGTGGAGCAAGTTCGTAAACATTCAAGGCCACGGCTCGCACTGTAATCAAAAGTTAGCGTGAATCTTTACTAAAGTCAAAAGTATACTCTAACAAAACCGATTAAAAAAATTTGTTTAGTTCACCTCAAAATTAATCCGTGTACCAAGTCAAAAAGCCTAGGTGTTTTCTCTTAAACTAAGCATATCTGTTTTTCTTTGCTCTTCTCCTTTTTTCTTCTCTTTCCCTTTCTCTTTTTCCTTGACTTTGTCTGGTTTCTGGGCAACCAGGACTGACAGATTCGACTAACGTACATTAGACAGCGACTAATGGGCAAAGGTCCTACGGACCGCCCAGACAAACAAATGACGAATAGTTATCATGATGCTTCAACTTTCAATGTTTGGCTCTAATGTGATGTAACATATGATTCACAAATGGAATTACTGGAGGTCTAAGCTGTAAGTTGTATACTATAACTAGGAAGAAACGGCAGTGTTGATGTTAATTCTCTTAGTTCCTGACTCAAATATCAAAAATGAGACAGATAAAAAAACAGAAAATCCCTGGTAGTTGAAGCATATTACAACTAACAGGAACATTTATGAAACGTGGTAAAGTTATATTATACGTATTTTTCATTATTTGTTATTTCCATTTGATAGAACTTTATTTTGCGATGTCAAGTTGAAAATACAAATCAGGGACTGTATGTGAGGCACTGCGAAAATGTTTTGTTTGATGTGGCTTAATTACACACAACGCGGGCGCGGTCGAGATAGCCCGTAATGCAAAAAAAAGACAGGAGAAAATTGCCATTTATAACTTTGAACATACCCTCTCTTCAGAAAGAATAACACAAATAACCCGTCTGGTACAGCTAATAGATATACTTCACGGACAGCGTATTTAGTAATAATCTTCTCACATACCAAATGCCACTGACTTTGTACACATGCAAACCAATACACACAATCATGATACAATCATTCACATGCGATCTGGCTACTAAGGGCCGTATCGTGAGTCGTTCCTACAAGAATTGTAGGACGCTGTTATGGCGTTTTTGATTTTCATAGTCTTTCCTCTATTTCAGAAAGGCTGGGGTATTTCTAGAGTTCCACTATTCTGTGTCAACGTCAGCTCACCCCGATTGTGAAGATATGTTTTCTGTTTGAATGATCGAAAATTTAAGGCTCTTAAAACAGTTGATATAAAATCAAAAGCAAGAATAATTTGATGCAAATAGAGCGCTGACATGGAACAGAGAAAAATATGAAAATCAAGGAGGTCGTAAAGGCGTCCTACAAATAAATGTAGGACTGACTAACGATACGGCCTTAACCAATTTTAAATATTTTCTCTCACATCTTCTCAGATATAATATACCGAGTAGTATATTATACTCTACTGACTATCTTGGCATTCTACAGCCAACAAAGCGTGCTGGGAAACTGCGTGAGCGTGTCGTGTCGTTGAGTCATTTCTCCATAGATGGAGCTTTTGGGACAGGTGGAATGAACTGTTGCACGCAACTGTCTAGTCAGCAAATTGATCTTTTTTCGTTTTTTTTTTTACTCTATATCAGTTTTTACGTAATAAGCTTGCTGCACATTATGTGCTGTGGCGTTCTATGAGTGATGCTTCTCTCTTATATTTTGATACATGTTTATAAGCACAAGTCCTATATGTATGGTGACGCCATCTGTTGGCGACAATGGGAACCGTATGGGAAACATTATGTGTTGTGTACCTAACTCTGCACGATCGCGTGGTTGACAACTAGCAGCCATATATCGGCAACCAGTGAAGCTACCGGTTCGAGAATATCAAGATCTAACATCCACGATGATCTAGAGATGACCACACACTGTGAAACCTAAGAAACGCCAAGAAAACCGACGAAATGTCATCTTGCAGACTGGTAGTTTTTAGTGTGCAAATAGTTCATTTCACGTTTGCTCGCTAAGATCGCTGTTCACTCACGTTTAAGCAACACGTACAACTACAAAACTTGTTCACAACAAGTGTACAACAGCTAGCGCTAAATTAACATCTTGTAGAAAAACCTATACGTCATCTCTCGAAGAACCAAAAAACCGAAGAAATGTCACTTTTCAAGATATTTGGATGGGTAACCGTTTTCCAACAATGTCAAATAGTGAAGGATGCAACACTATTGTTTAGTTTCGAAACACGAAGCCTTGTTCTTTTTTTTGTTTTCCATTTTATGATGGATGTTTTATATGCAAATACTCCACGTAGGCTGTCGTCCATATAGTAGATGCTGGTATGAGATATACACGTTTTCTAACAATCTCAAATAATGTACACCTTTGTTTTTTATTTTCACCAGTTCAGAATGTTTTCAATAAATAATACATATCCAGGCAACCCTAGGTATGTAGATCTCCTGCTTTCGGGAAACATTTTTTTCTAGTATCGCAGACAAAGGCAAGCGGAAAGTGAACTAAATAAGTAGGCGATGCAGTTAAAAAAATAATACTTTAAAATGGAAATTTGTAGTTAATTATTTTAGTATTGTTTTAATTTCTTCATGAGCTCATTCTTTTCTATCAAAGTTAGTTAATTTTCATTTCTTTCGACCTTTATAACTAACGGCATTTGTCCTCTATTCCATAACTTTCAGGCAAGCAATTATACAACCTTCTTCTTACAGTTTTGTATTTTGTCTCCTTTCTCTATTTCGTTCTTGTTCGTTAATTCACAATTGGTTTGTAGTGAAAGATTGAACGAGCTTTTCGAGGAATGATGAATGAACTAGTTCACTTGGTTAAATCATAAGAATCGTTTGATTGAACTAGTTCGTTCGCGAACAACACTCTACTAAAATGAGTTAGCGAAGAGCAATCTGACATAAATAAGTAATACGTGTTGTCTTTGTTGCAGTATTTTTATGATCCAAATTAAGTTTATAGTACTTCATATTTATTTAAAACGAACTCAAGCAGGTTCCCATGGAGCCAATTTGTGGCTGAAAAACGCTCGCGGCGACTTTCCACTACACGATGCAGCAGGATCCGGTAGGAGAGATCTGGTGAAATGGCTTTTAGAAATGAGGCCAAGCCAGGTCAATGCTAGGAATAACGACGGACGGTGTCCCCTTCACATGGCGGCTCTAAACGACAATGCGGATACGTGTAAGGTAAACATCATCTCCATTTTGTATAAAGTTAGTCTGACTTCCTGACATGTTTCAACTTTCAAACTATGGCCATGAAGTTTCAGCTGAGCCTTTTTAGTATTCCTGATAAATTCTGGTTAGTTTACGATTTTTTTGGATGAGCGTGGGATTATAAAATTATTATATTATAAACAATAATTTGAGAGAAAGAAAAAAGGACGCCGGTGGGATTCGAACCCGCATCTCCTCCATTCCGTGGAACCGGCCTAACGAATTAGTCTACAGCACCAGCTGCCAATCAAGTTCCAGGATCGACTGTTAGAGGCAAATTCAATCCTATCCACGTCACTGCAACTTCAAGCTGCTTGAGGAGGAGATGCGGGCTCGAATCCCGCCGGAGCCCATTTTCAATTTTTCTCAAATTGTTGCTACTAAATGCTGGATTGTTGTATTTTGCATTTTTCAGTGTTGTATTAGGTATCACAAATTTTTAGTATAGCTTAGATTGTGATCTGGCACTAAAAATAATGGCATCAAGTAGGTTGACTCTGCACTTCTCACGCAACACCCTTTCCAGCGCATAAAGGAATATGTTCAGCATATACTGGACCATCTGAGAAAAAAGTCAGTCAAACAGATCCATACAATTAGTCCATAAATATTTTTCCTCGCATCACCGTTATTGCATCTGGAAACGTAGCTTCTCGCCGATACCTAACTCGGGCAGAAGTGAGAATATTTTAAGTTTTAAGGGCTGATGTACAGATAAATCTATGATGTCTAAAACATGTACGTAGAATTACCAGTGTTGGTAGCTTATATACAGTATTAAAAAATGAGATAAACCCGTCCCGACATCTTAAAACCCCCAGCTCCAAGTTTTTTTACCTCAAAAATTTAATTAAAAAATGATCGGATTCTCTGAAAAAATCAAAAAGTAAGGTTTGAGCCATTTCTACTTTTTTTTTCGCTTTAGGCCTTCTCTGCCGCCCACGAACCGATTTCCAAAAACCACTAAGCTTTTGGGTTCTTGGCATGATAGTAACAAAAAGTTCACCAACCTGATCGGTACATCTCATGTTATAGGCGATTATAAAATTAGCAGACAGACTGACAAACGGACTGACAGACAGGCAGACCGATGGAAACGAGTGAAATGATTTTTCGCGATGTAACAACCAAAAATTATAATATCTCATTTTAGAAAATTTTCGTGACTACAATACTTCCCCGCGAGTAGGCGTAGTAGAACAACAATCAAAAGGATTAAGACTCAAAACTTTCCAGGTAGCCTAACGTTGGGGGTCATGGAGGTCATGTATCTGACCTTTCGCAGCGCCGAGGACAATCTTACTCACCATTAAAGAAATCTGCGTTTATGCAGCTTAAACTTCTTTTTGCAAATCACGAAATCTTTACCACTCTCGGCAACTGATGGGAACATTAGAACTGTATGGAAACCCACGAACTTTTATATACTACGAATTTATTGGAAAGTGTCAACAACTGCCAAGATAGTGGTTTAAGCCTGATCAAATTGTATTATTATGTAGTATGTTAAGATAATCTGTTTTTATTAGAAACTTGTTAGGTATTAAGAGTAATATAATTCACTGGGAATGCTGCGATAAGCAGAGGAGTGACCAAGGTACCATGCAGTACCTATTAATATACATTTTTATTTAGAATACAGTTAATAATCTTGAAACTTAGTTGTATTACTATGGACGTAAAAGCCTGAAATAGATAAATCTATTACAATTACTTGCATTCAGACTACCGACTACATAATTTTGGATCAAGGCAAATCATAGTTCGCTATTTATCCCAAGCTCGAACATTTTGTTTTACAGAATTTATTATCATGGTTACGAAACAAAAACGCCAATAGCAGATTGAGTTACAGCCCTTTATAAATAATATAACACTTTCCTCGGAGGCCAGCCATTTGTCGTTCTTGACCTTTTTCAAAGCAATCGACTAATCTTCGCTTTCCGCTTCAAGGATACCGGCTTCGTGCTGACTAAAATTAACCCATGAAAATCTTTGAATTTTTCGCCAACAAAATACATATAATTCGCACGCGAACCAGTCATACGTCTAAATAAGGGCATTAGTAAAAAGTAAGTAATTTCGTTTCCAGATTCTGCTGGACTTCGGCGCGCATATCAACCCGATACTTCGAACTTCCAAGAACGTGTTCATGACGCCGCTTGATTGCGCGCTTCAGAGGGGCTTCCGATCCACGGCGAAGTTCCTGCAACTTCACGGAGGGGTAAGTGTCAGATACTCTTAACAATAAGGACACTCTGACAGCCAAGCAGCATCCAGCTGGGTTGCCAGATATATAAGTAGATATAATATATTTATAATAATGAATAGTAACGAACCAGCTTAACCATTGCTTAAATACATTCAAAGAAGCGTTTTCAAATTCAAATACAAATAATTATTTATTGATGAAAATATACATAAGTACTTTCTTAATTCATTTAAAAGGATTAAGAAAATGGAATTGAGATTGTAGCTCCTTACACGTGCCACATAGGCGCAATGTAGGTCGATAGATATCCTAAACCGCATCTGCTGGGAAACCGGTATCTCCTGTGTGTTTAGCTGCCAAGGCATCAAACCAGCTGAAAAACACTTTCCTCTAAGTTACAAGGTGATCACTCACACACATATTAATCAGACTATATATATATATATATACAATTAATTGTTAATTGGAAAATTGGCAAACTTCTAGGCTTAAATTGACTCTTTTGACGGCAAGCTTTCGGCATTCTCTATGGAGCCTTCATTAGGATTTCGTGATTGAGGTTGCAGCCAAAAGGTGTTTCGAAATGAACGTAGAGAAGATAGAACTTGTTACAAATATAAAAACAATCGGACGGAGACATTAGGCTTGTTGATAACGACAGATACCTTCGGTATGTGTTAAAAATGTCAATACACCCGAACATATTAAAAATTATTAAACATGAGAAGACATTTTAGGGAAACAATCGGAATGCCTAAAATGTCTTCTTATGTTTAATAATGTTTAAAATGTTCGGGTGTATTCATATTTTTAACACATAACGAAGGTATCTGTCGTTATCAACAAGCCGAATGTCCGATTGTTATTATATTTGTAAACAAGTTCTATCTTTTCTACGTTCGTTTTGAAACACCTTTTGGCTGCAACCTTAACGACGAAATCCTGATGAAGGCTCCATAGAGAATGCCGAAAGCTTGACTTTATCGTCAAAAGAGTCAACTTAAGCCTAAAAGTCTGCCAATTTCCCAATTAACAATTAATTGTATTTTTTTGCCCAACTGGTCATTGGCAATGGCAATGACTACTGCTCATATATATATATATATACAGGGTGACTTCGAAGTTGAGTCATTTATTTTAACAGTGAGTAGATCTGATCAAAAGAAATGTTTTTTCCTTTACCATTTTTCTGGTAAAATTAAAGTAACAAAGTTATAGCCCTTTGGAAGTTTGAGTACCGCCCTGTCTCAATAATAATATCATGTGCTCGTGTTTGGCAACAACGGATATAATCCGCCTTATCGGTTCATCGCATCGGAAACAAAAAAGCGAAAGAATTTGGAACGATGTTTTTACAATTATTTTATCCAGTTCAGTTATACATACAGTTAGTGTCAGTTGGTAACGCGTGTGAATAGTGTCTGTTGCGTGGCTCAAACGAAATAAAAAATGGCACATGTTTATGCGGATCGGTTTCCCAATCGAGTGCAACCAACCCCTCGTGCCTTTGTTAATGTAGTACAACGGGCTCGTGAATCAGGTGACTTAAGACCTCACAGGGACCTCACGATCAAATACAGGTCCGCACTGAAATACTTGTCGGGAGGATACTTTATAAAACAAGGTAAAATTTTTTTTTTAATTTTTTTTATTTTTACACACATATTTTGGTTTGTCTTCCTTCTACAATCATTATCTGAAAATTAATGACTCAACTTCAAAGTCACCCTGTATATATAGAATTATAGAAAACCAACCATGTTTGTTTTAATATTTTGTAGCATAACCATTATTATCAATCACCGCCTGGCATCGTCTCGGCATAGACTGTATAAGTTTATTGATATGAGATTCATCAATCTGTCCCCACGTTTGCTCTAAATCGGCAAAAAGTTCATCCTTGTTTGAATAATTTTTACCTCGTATTTGCTTATCTAAGTAGGGAAGGTCATTTGAGAACTGGTAGTTTCTCATCCAGAAAGAATTTCTTTGCGAGATTTTAAGTCTGCTTCGGGTCATTACCTTGCTGGAAGATTGATCTTAAGGGCAAATTGTCTTCCATATAGGGTAACATGACATGCTTTAGTATGTCTGTGTATACAAACTTATCAATAATGCCATCTATTCTATGTAAAGGTCTCAGCCCAAACCTCGAAAAGCACCCCCAGACCATAACAGACCCGCCTCCATGTTTGACAGTGGGCAAAGTGTACTTGGGGTTCAATTTTTGTCCACTAGGACGTCTAACGTAATGAACACTATCTGATCCAAACATATTGTAGGTACTTGGATTCGTCACTGAAACATACCCTCTTCCAGTCACAGATGCTCCAATCAAGATGCAACCGTGCAAACTGTAATCCTTTTGTCTCGATTTCGGCCTTTATTTGTCTTGGGGTTTTAAATGGATCTTTGGACGAAATTACTTTTATTAATCTAACTGATCTAGCGTTTAGTTTTCTAGGCCGACCACTTCTCTTAGAGGCTTCCAAGATACCTTTTTGTTTATATTTGTTCAATATTGCCCAAACTCCTTTACGCTTCAGCTTCAAATTTTTGGCAATGTCGACTTGACGTTGACCATCTTTGTATAACTCAATGATCTTAGTTTTCACATCGAAAGAAATTTCTGGACTACGCGGCATGGTCTTAAAATCACTCAACTTATTCCACAATACATGATGAACATAAACTAATCCTCTTCTGACATGAAACTGTACTAAATTAATGTTGAAAATAATTTGTCTACATATTTTTGTCCCTCATAAAAAAGTGCTTATATTCAGACTTGTGTTCATTGCAGATAATGTAAAGACAAGGAATTTAGTTTTTCTACTAATAAAGCATTTTTTTATGGAGCAATGAAGTATGAATTCGTTTTCTAAAGGTATTTAGGTAAATATTCATATTTGTCTATATACTTTTGTCCATTACTGTATATATATATATATAGGTGAAAAATTAAAGCTTCCGCCTTTTGTTGGGTACTTCGACAAAATTTAAGCAAAGAGGACTCTTTATACTTTTTTTAATTCTCTCTAGCTTTCAATGGACTTTGCCATCATCATCAGGAGCTGCAATTACAATGATAACAGTAGCAACAAAGGTGTAAAATGAATTTAAATTGACTCAACTTACAGTAGTATGTGAGGATGTTGCTAATTGTTGTTTACGTCTAGGATGAGGGAAACGTCCAGTAACATGGTGAGAGCTGGATAGATTGTACAATAGTCAAACTTATATAAAATATGACAATCCTAGACGTAAACAACAATTAGCAACATCCTCACATACTACTGTAAGTTGAGTCAATTTAAATTCATTTTACACCTTTGTTGCTACTGTTATCATTGTAATTGCAGCTCCTGATGATGATGGCAAAGTCCATTGAAAGCTAGAGAGAATTAAAAAAAGTATAAAGAGTCCTCTTTGCTTAAATTTTGTCGAAGTACCCAACAAAAGGCGGAAGCTTTAATTTTTCACCTAACTGGTCTAGACGACAATGACCACGTCTCAAGTTATATATATATATATATATATATATTTAGAGAAAATGATGAGCGGAGAAAGGTATATAGCAAAAAGTAGGACAATAATGGGCAAAATCCGCAAACAGGAGGAAAGTGGAAAGTGTGGGCATGTGTATCTACTTTTGTAGTTTCATACGTGCATTCATTTCGGGCCTGATGAAGCCAACCAGCAGAAATAAGTATCGCTCGGGTTACCTATCCTATTTTCTGCTCGAATCCACTTTCCTCCTGTTTGCGGATTTTGCCCATTATTTTCCTATATATATATATATATATATATATATATATGTATAAAACAAGGTACGGGAATGAGCATATATACACGAACATATAACCAGAAGCTCGCGGAATTTGACAATTAAAAAACTCGTCATAGTGGTAAAATATCAAAATGTTATCTAAATTTTTCAAGTCGTACGGTCGATTATTAAACATCTTAATCGCTGAATATTTTGGGCCGTTCTGCGTCTCTTTTAGTCGCTCATATGAAGTGATAATGTCGTTCTTATTTCTAGTGTCGTGATGGTGTTGACTTGTATATGCCAGAAATGTACTCCTATTATGATTTCGTCATTTGCTTGTCTGGGCAGTCCGTAGGACCTTTGCCCATTAGTCAGTGTCTAATGTACGTTAGTTAAATCTGTCAGTACTGGTTGCCCAGAAACCAGACAATGTCAAGAAAAAATAGAAAGAGAAAGAAAAGAAATTTGGAGAAGAGCAAAGAACAACATCCTATTATGATATATGTATGTGAAACGCCGCGTTGCTGTCTCATAACGAAATAAACGAGCTATCGGAAACACCCTGCTCATGCTTTCACAACATAAAATATAAATATTAACGATCTTTGTATAAAGTTACAGAAAGCTACTTCATTGCGTATATTTTAAGACATTTTTTTGTTCTTCAGGTACCAGCCTCGAGACTGGGAGACCAACGACATCCAACAACCGCTAGTGCCTTAAACCTCAACATTAGGGATGACGTAACTCTCTTGGGTGGTAGTAGTTCAGAAAGTGAGAGAGAGGTTGACAAAACCGATCGAAGCTACAAGAAAAAGTTTCATCACAGATTTGAAAAAAAGATCTCTGGAAGTGATAAGGACAGTCAAAGGGGTGGGAGAGGGTCCAGAGTAGGAAGCGCTCTGCCTTCAAGTAGAAGAAAAATGGCGTCGAGTAGACTAGATTACACTAACGAAATTATAATCAACGGTAAAACAGAGATAAACATCCATCAAACCAAAGAAATTGTGATAGACAAGGAAACCACAACTGTAGAAAAAGGGGAAGAAACTATAGTTAGGGAAGTAACTAGCTCTAATGCAGAAAAGTTAGTAAGACCAAAAAGTGCAAAGTATAAGCATCTGAAACAGAAATCTGCCAGTCGGTCAAGCGTGGAACGAGAAATTAGGGATAAGGTCATCAGTCCTGAATCCGTCATTCCAAAAGCACCTCTGAAGAGAGAGGCAACTGTAAGGGATCAAAGCACAAACACTTCAGATGAAACTGAAACAGCAGGAGAAACTCCTAGGAAAGTAAATGTCAAAGCTGAAGGTGCTCCAGTATCAGATAATAAGCAGTTGAATGTTGTTAAAGAGAAATTGGATCAACAGTCGATCATATCCAATACTAGTGAAGATATTGAAGAGCAGAAGAAAGATATTGTAGTGGAAGCAGCTGTCCATGAACCTCCTAGAACTGCAAGTGAACTAGATACTAGCAAACAGGAGATAACAGGAGAAACTGAGGTAGATGCCAAGAGGCAGTCAGAAGGTAAAGAGTCTGAAACTAAGGGGGAAGAGAATGCTTTAGAAGCTAACAGAAAGGAGGAGATTACCGTGAAAGAAGTTACAATACAGGAAAGAGTTGACCAGGATCAAACGGAGAAAGAGGTTCCATCAGACATGAGGGCTTCAGAGAGCAGCATCCCTACAGAAGGACAGGATGCAGTGTTTGGAGAGTCCGTAAAAGGTGATGAACGTGAAAGTAATGATGCGGAACGGACTGGCGAAGCTACTCAGCAGGAAGAAAAGGCTGATCAGAAACAAATAGAGGAGGACGAAGCTATTGCTGAGAAGATACTTGAAAGCTTAAAGCCTGCTAGTGAAGATCTGCAAAAGCAAACAGATGGTGTAGAAGAGAAACATGACACAGGGGAAGCAACCAAGGGGGATGAAGCAAAAGGTGATGATGTGAATGACAAAGAAACTGATACGAAACAGGAAAAGGAGAGAAAAGAAGATGAATTGGCTGTTAAGGGTGACGTTGTTCGTAGACGTGGTGAAGCAAAATATCTCAAAAAGGGTACAGGTCAAACTGATGCAGTAAAGAAGAAAGAAACGGGTAAGAAAGAAACTGTCGAGAAAAAAACTGTCAAAAAGGAACCAGCACGTGAGGACAAGGTTCCTACTAAGGGAGCGAAAGACAAGAAAGTAGCGAAAGAAGAGAAACCTAAGCAGGTTCAGACGGAATCGAAAGAAAAAACTACGGAAGAAGCGGGTGATAGTAATGAAGAGGAAGAGGTGGAGTCGGCTAGCGAGAAGACGCACAAAAGCTTCAGGGTATTGAATGAGGAAGAAGCTACCAACTTGGAGAGGGCCAAGCCAAAAAGGCAAGTCAGGAGAGGCTCTCCTAGGTCTAAATCGGAAGAAGTGAAAGGCAAGAAAACTGCGAGAATCAAATATATGAAGCCTAGCAAGATACCAACGCCGTTGTACAGGAACAAGCTGTCAAAAAGTGACAGGTAGGTAAAAATAAATCAAGTGGTTGTTTAGGCTTCTATAGCGTCTTGCACACGGTGTATACCGGCACAGCATAGTTTATTAGTATTCTGAGACTTTAATGGCTACGGTGTAAACATTGCCAAATTTGAAGATCACTTTAGAGTAACGCATATGTTTCTGTATTCAGATTTTTACTGCTTGTATTTATATCTAGATTGATGATGATGACGTTGACCGCTATTCGCGAATGATTTGTTTGACCCAATTACAGTTTAATGAGGTTTCTTGCCAGGTAGATTTCCTTCACCATCAAATTTTACATGTTACTGCTGGAGATGGAAGGCATATAAGTTACGGATAACGGTTAGCTTCAGAACAGCCCTATATTCTTGATCGTGCGAAGTAACCTTCAAATGCTGTTGTTTATCGTAATTAGAAACGAAAAAGTTTCTCCTTATGAGGACAAATATTTTCAGTTGGGTGCCTAGATCACTCAGAAGATTAACCATAAAATAGTCAAGAGGGTGAATGAGGCAACCTGATAGCCAATATATTTGGTCCTTTTGTTTCGAAACCTTTTAGGGATTGTGATTCTATCCCGGAGCAAGCACACGTAGGATTTTATGACATCCCGAAGGTAACGTCTAAACATGCTATCTTTATTGGCACTGAACATCGCAATGAGGTCTCGCAATTGGCAGATTACGTCAGATCTTTACGAATCACTTGAGTTGCCTCGATTCAGTAGGATACAAAAGTATCCTTTAACTGTCTAGGCTCTCCTCCCAAGGGGATAGAAAATCTCTTTGCATAACCTTCAATCTCCTTCAATTTGCTGGGATTGCATGCCTTGCATTTCCTTTCAGTTGCCCTTTCCCGGAGCGAAGTACATAGTGGAGGAGCTAGACCACTTACGATAGACAAAAAGGGAAACATCTATTCTATTAGTCATTGTCCGTCAGAGCGGTCCATGGGACCTTCGCTCTTTGTTAAAGTATCGTAGGTCAGTAGGTCTGTCAGGTCTGGTTGCCCAGGTACCAGACGAAGAAGAAAGAAAGGAAGGAAGGGGAAGAACAAAGAGGGTGAAGAGCGCCGGTTAAAGAGATGCCTTGCTATTGTTAACTGGTATTCCGTTATTTTAAATTAATCCAAACATTAATTTAGGAATTTGTGTGTGCCAAAAATCGTAATTTTGGTTGAACCTAGAATTGCACGATTTCATTTTGACCACAGTGCGAGCCGCGGTCTAGTGTGCTTGTAAACTTGCTCGACTGTGTAGTCTGCTGACTCATGCAACAGAGGGTTGCTGTGCGATTCCGCTTGACTATAACGAAACTGCCTTAGGTAAGGGATGTCGAGGTCTCTGTGAAGGGTCTCGTTGGAGACATACCACGGTGCGTTAGTGACGGTTCGCAAGGTTCTGTTCTGCACAACCTGCAGATTGCGCATAAGCATTTTGGCAAGAAAACACCATGCTGCACATGCGTAAGTGATTGCTGGTCTGATAACCATCTTGTATAGCCGAACTTTGTCAACCAAACCTAATTTTGAGGTTCTACATGGCAAAGGGTAGAATTGCCGAAACGTAATTTGGAATTTAGCTTCTAACGCTTCAGTGTGATTCTGCCAGGTCATCCCCCTGTCAAAAGCGACACCGAGATACTTAGCAGAATTTCTTCATGGTATGTGAGCACCATTCACTGAAACCTCAGGCGGGGCGCCGCTACGTTTTTTCGTACAATAGATAGTATGCGTTTTCGTACCAATTAATTTTGATTAGCCACCGATCTGCCCTATCCTATACCTCGTCCACCGCACTTTGTAACCTGTCGTGAACCAGATTCCCGGTACGCGACTGGGCCACCAGTGCAGTGTCATCAGCATATAGATACTACACAGTCGATAGGGGCAAGGGACAACATGCGTGAAAAGTGAGTAAAGGATTAGCCCTAGAACCGAACTCTGAGGGTCGCCGGCTCTGATGGGCCGTACTGTCGACAAGACATTACTAATTTTGATCCGAAATTTCCTACCTTCAAGGATTTCAAAAGTTTTAGGAGCCAAAATGAATTAGCTTATAGAGAAGGCCCTTGTGCCACATCTTGTCAAATGCCTTCAAGACATACAGAAGCAAGATGCCAGAACTTTCGTTAAGGGTGAAGCCCCTGGTTACCCACTCCACAAGCCTACCCGCCGGTAACTCCGTACTATGCTCAGACCGAAATCCAAATTGCAGGTCAGGAATCACATGGTGATCTGTCGAGAAATTCGCAAGGTGACGTAGAATCACCTTTTCAGCGAGCCTAGACGGAGCCGACAGTAGGCTGATGGGACGATAGTCCTGGGGAAATATCGAACCCACCTTCTTTGGAATCATTATAACTTTCGCAGTCTTCCGCGCCGATGGAAAGTACTGGGTCCTTAGCATGACATTGATAATAGCCACGAGATAAGTCAAGGACTTCCGTGAAAGCAGCTTCAGCGCCTTATTAGTGATTTGATCCTTCCCAGGCGCTATACGCACCTTGAGGTCTTTAATATGACCTTGAAGCTCTGCTGGTGTGCAATGCGGGATCTCGGGAGAAGCCGCTGATGTGCTGTAACTCTTCAGCTGAAGAATCTTCCGAAACAGAATCACAAATGGCGGCGCCGACATCAGTGACGCCGTTGGCCCTAAAATATCTCCTGACGGATCTTACATTTAAAGAAGAACTAAGGCTAAAGACCTAGGTATTGAGATTGTCCACGCAGTCCGTCAGTCTCTTGATTTGAGCTGCCTGGTCAGCGATGATTTGGTACAGCCTCTCCTTTTCGGTGCCTCTTTCAGTATCTGCAGCTGTCAAAGCCCTACTAGGGTTCGTATTCTCCAATCTCTCAGGTACGCCGCTTTTTACTTCTTCTCCACTCGCTGTGATGGAGGGGTCGCCTGGTGACCCCCCGGACGAGCGTTCCATCTTATATTCGCCTTTTCTCTCAGCAAATTCTCAAAATTTTTAAGGAGCAAAAATCTCACAACTTGTCTTTTTCATATCTACAGGGCGATACAGGGAAACATCGTCAACGTGATAGTTGGATATAGACTCTATAGTGAAATATGTGTCACGTGGGATCAAATGGGGCCTGGCAAAGGTGCATGCATTTCGCTGTCATCACTTGTCAGATGAAAAGATAATTGTCAGTTTGAAATTCAAGTTGTTTCCAACACCAGGTTGACTAAATGTCCGTTATTTTCTTTGATACAGGGTGTCCAGTGGGAAAGTTCACTTTTTGATTTAAGAAAAAGAAATACAAACTTAATGAAAAGAAAATATTTATTACATATTTGTAAATTCGGTGGGTTTTAATTATTAAATATCATTCCGACCAAATGTTTGCAATCCGGACACACACTTCTAATCGCGCGCGCAAATTCTGAAACATTCTTTTGCAGAGTTCCGGAGTGATTTTGTTTATTTCTCGTCGAATATCGTGTTTAAGCTCCTCCACTGTTCGTGGATTATTGAACTTTTAGCTTTAGTTAACCCCACAAAAAAATAATCGCATGACGTGAGGTCGAGTGACCTAGGAGACCAGTGAATGTCTCCAAACTTCGATATAACTTTTTGAGGAAAAAGTGCTTTCACCGTGTCCATCGATTCTCTGGAAGTATGGGCAGTGGCCCCATCCTGTTGAAACCACGTGTTTCTGTTAGATCGACGTTCTGTTCTTACAATAGGAGCAAAAGAAGTATCAACCATGCCCTTGTTTCGCTCGGAATTGGCTGTCAATACATGACTGTTTTCATCTTCAAAGAAATACGGCCCAATAATACTGCTAGAGGATATGGCGCACCAAACAGTCACCTTTGAACTATGTAGCTATTTTTGATATTTCTCTTTTGGGTTCTTTGCTGCCCAATATCTGCAATTTTGCTTCTTTACATAACCGTCAAGTGAAAATGGGCATCGTCACTGAAAACAACGTTCTCGAGTCTGCGCTGCGTAGGAAAAAGATGCAACATCCGTTCAGCACAAGATTTTCGTAATACGTAGTCACTTTCCTTTAAAGCATTGATTCCCAAAGTGGTCTATATCGACACCTAGGGGTCTATGACAACCTGCAAGGGGTCTACGTCAGCGAAAAAAAATTGGGGGGTCCATGAACTGAATATGGGGGTCCACGATAGTGGATCTCAACACATACACTAATAGTACCTACTTACTTACATCATACTATCTTATAATATCAAAACATATACATTATTTATAAAAGTACCTATGAAGTAAAAAATTTATTATATATGTTTATAAAATTGTGTAAGTTGTAGGATGTTTGTATTCGCTTTGTGGTCGCAATACATTATGAACTTGTAAAAACCAGAGAGTCGCAGTCTCAGAGCTTCGCTACCTTGCACTGACTTGTTCAATTCGTCACACTATAAATACGAATGTGGGACAAATACGTTTATTCGTTTCCTGAATCTTGAAAAGGAAAGTGCTAAAAAATATTATAAAAAATATAAACAGATAGTATATCGCACAAATTATAGTGAGTCAGTGTTATTTTGTTTGAGAGTGCTGGAGAAAAGTAAGTACATTATTTTTTATTAAATTTTAGTTTTGTACTCGTAGTTAGCAAAGATAGATAAATTACGCCAATCATGACTTTAGTTATTAGTAGTTAAATATTCAATCATGTAAAATTACACGAGTACTCCTCAATAGTTTCTTTTTGAAAGTTTTAGCAATCGGTAATAATTACAGTGCAATCTCCGTAATTCGAGCTAATTGTTGCAAGATGTTCGAATTATGGAATGTTTTCGGAAAAATCTAAAAATATTTTTAATATACAGCTGCTGGATTTTCTGTCTTATTTAAATAATTTAATTTTGCCCACAGATGACTTATGCCATGTCCGAATCTAAAAAGAAATTTAGACAGTACAGTGTTGATTATTTGAAATTTGGCTTCATTCCATCATTGCCGGACAAACAATCGCCTATGTGCCTTTTATGCAACAAAGTTTTGGGAAATGACGCTATAAAACCATCTAAACTGCAAAATCATCTGAGAAGATGCCACCCTGATAAAACAGAGAAAGATTTGAAATACTTTCAAACACTCAAAGATAAATTTCAGAAGAGACCTACACTGGACAGAATGTTCGCTTCGACGTCACAAAGAAATGATGATGGTTTGTGGGCGTCTTACAATATCTCGTTACTTACAGCAAAATCCGGAAAACCGCATACTATCGGAGAGAAGTTAATTTTGTCAGCCGTTGAAGAGGTTTTAAAAACTGTTTTACACAAACCTGCATCTGATATTAAAAGAATTCCCTTAAGCAACAATACTGTTGAAAGACGTATTGATGAAATGAGTTCTGATATTGAAAGCTTCTTATGTAATTATTTGCAAACGACCCATTTTTCTATACAACTGGACGAGTCAACTTTACCTGATATTGCAGCATTATTATTGGCATATGTTCGTATTATTATGAATCAAGAAATCTACGAAGAACTGCTCTTCGCAAGAACTTTGATAGCCGACACTAAGGGTGAATCAATATTTCATGTTTTGAAGGATTACTTCATTGAAAAAGCAATTCCTTTATCAAATATAATATCAGTAGCTACAGATGGAGCACCTGCCATGGTTGGACGTTATCGTGGATTTATAAACTACTTAAAACAAAATGTGTCAGGGGTGTTAGCAATACATTGCGTCAACCATCGACAACATTTAGTTGCTAAAAATTTGAGTGTTAGATTGCATGAATCACTTCATTTAGTCATTGATGCAGTAAACCGAATCCGAAGCAACGCGTTGAATACGCGGTTATTTGCGCAGTTGTGTGAAGAAAATGACGAACACTTTCATCAATTACTCCTTCACACTGAAGTACGCTGGCTGTCGAAATTCTTATGTTTGACAAGATTTTTTGCACTTTTTGAGACTATTTTAGAATTTCTGGATACTAAAGATCAAAAATTTTAAAAGAAAATTTAATGATGATTAAAACAGACATCGCCTATTTAACAGATTTGTTTACAAAATTTAATATGGTTAATTTGCAATTACAAGGCGACAGTTTAAATTTGATTAAAACAAAGTCCATCTTATCAGCGTTTCTTGCCAGAGTTAAACTAATGAAGCAAAATATTGGACGGGGCGAATTTTCTTAGTTCCCCAATTTGTCACAGACAAGCTGCCAGGAAGACAATGTTTCAACTTACGTTCAACATTTAATCTCTATTCAGATTTTGAATCTAGGTTTGAGGATATTTTGACTATGGTAATACCACCGTGGATAATTAATCCATATGGTGACATACAAGAATCGAATGTCATAATACAAGAGGAACTGACTGAACTAAGTACAAACGAAGAACTTAAGGTTCAGTTTAAAAACGGATATCAGCAATTCTGGCTGCAAAACAACATACCCGTTACTTATCCGTATTATGGAATATAGCGAGGAAATTTTTAATTTCCTTTCCATCGTCATACCTAGTGGAAAGGGGGTTCAGCGCTGTTACCAATCTCCTAACGAAAAAAAAGAAACAGACTGGATATCATTAGCCGAGGAGATTTAAGATTAACCCTTACAAATGTTGATAATTCATTATTAAAGCATCAGGTTCATCCTTCTCACTAAAAATATTGACTTATTGCTTATGTTATTTTATTTATAGTTTATTTTATGTTTATTGGTATCTGACCAATAAATGCCCGCATTGGGAATAAGTGGCCGCATTGATTTTTTTAAAGAACCCCCTTTATAGAAAATATTTTTTTTAATAATTCTGAAAATTCAAAGATAGGTACACACTAAAATTGGTTAATTTTTTGCCTATTTTTAGATAACTTAAACGTATAAGAAGCGGAATTTAATCAAACTAACAGTGAAATTATTGTAGAACATACTTTTATGTTACAATTAATAAACGAACTCGCTTATTGTACTATTTTAAGTGAAAAAACTTTTTTTAATTATTTTTCACTTTTTTTTTATTTTATCCCTCTTATTTTTTTTTTCAATGCGGGCACTTATTGGTCAGACACATGTTTATTTAATGTTACGTATATTTTACATAACAGATACAAAATTTTATTTTGAGTAGTTTTAATTTAAATTCAATTAATAAATGTATAAATTAACATGTGTTTTTACTTTAAGTTTTTAACACTAAACTTCACTACAGTTAGAAATTTACAGCAAATCAATATCAGGTAAGTAGGGGGTCTACCCAACATGGAAAAACATGGCAAGGGGTCTACGACACAAAAAAGTTTGGGGAACTCTGCTTTAAAGCATGGACTGATTGGATTTTATGAGGATGAAACCCCATTTTTTTCTTCATTGTGTGATGCAGTATTGACCTAGGGATTCCCAAAACGGCGGAATTCTTCCGTACAGAACGTCGAGAATTTGCAATGACCGAATCACTTACTCACTTACAAAAGGAGTGGGGCCAGGATTTGGTTGACTGAGAGTAGAGCCTGTTTCAAGGAACCTCTCAAACCGCTTTTCTAATAGGTTATTACTTGGGGCGTCTCTTGGTCGGCGTATGAATCACCACTCTGAAAGTAAGCCTCGACAGCAGAAGTACGTTGCGCTCCGGTCCAACGTTGCACTGTGACTATTTAACCCGCACGCCAAACGCGTCGATCAAGATCTCTCTCCACTTCCTCGCATATATGGTTACCGCGTAATTCAAATTTGAAATGTGAACTTTCCCACAAGCAGAAACGACATCCTGTAGGTTATTTCATCAATGTGATGCATGTGATGCTAACCTCCCCGCTCGGGAATTTTCTATTACAAGGATTTAGAGCAACCCTGCGTTTCAGCATTTGATACTACCTCCCGTCCTTTCGCTTTTCAGTTTGCAAAGTCAAGTGGTGCTCAAGCAAAGTGTCCCACAATTTTTATTACTCGTAAAGTGATAGTCTTTCTATTATTCTGGATGTATTTTTTCTAAATCAAGGTATCTGGACCAATCTCATTTGGACCAACATCTGGACACCAGAGTACCTTCTCTTCCAAACATCCACGGCCAGCAACTATTGAAAGAGCCATCAAGGTGCGAGTCCAACTTATCAGCACCAATCATGCCTTCGATGTACAGCGATAACGAAAGGGGCAGTGGATCAGACGAAGAGGATCGGTTGAAAACGAGAAAAAGGGTGAAGAGGAGATCGCGGACCAGAGACTCGAAGAGCGCTGGGAGTGATTATGAAAGTAGCAATTTGATTGATTCGGGGTTCGAACCTAGTCCTAGGAGCACCAGGATACCGAAGTGGAGGAACATGTCGGAACGAGGAGTGGATATGACTAGTGTTACGCAAAATATTCAGAGCAATGTTAGAAGGTAAGGTCTATTGTGATATTATAAATATGTGTTTCATGCGATGTTAAGCCTCTGTTTTCTCATAAATGAAGTTCCCAAAATATGATCAAGCTAAGAACAGCAATACTTAAAATTTCTCAATGAGAGTATGTCTTTTAGCTGTGCTTCTTGGACATTGTACGATATCAAAATAATATAAAGTGCCCTCCTCGATCTTACTGATAATATCGTCACAGCGTAGGATACCCACCATCACTCTCTTTTGATTGCTAAATCACTGAGTTTAATTCGCCGGTTTCTCATAAATAGATCCCAAAAGGTCGACGTAGATTCAAAATTTTCTATAGAGCGTCTGACTTCCTCAGGAGGGTCTCAAGGATCAGTTCTTGGGCCAGTTCTCTTTATTTTGTATATAGCAGATATAAACAGGGTTGTGAAATTTTTTAGTATTCGTTTCTTTTTGCTGACGTCTCACAATTATATCATAGCTTCAATCATGAACATTTAGAAGCACAAATAATAGAGGACCTAAATGCTATTGAAAATTCCAAAGTAATTATTTTTTATCCTGAAAATCTAGAGTCCCTTATTAAAAATAGCTTGATCATTACTCTGAACGGCCATGCTATTCAGATAGAAGGATCAGTTAAAAACTTATTTTTTTTATAGATGAAAATTTCAAATTTATTTCTCATGTGCATAATGTAACTAAAAAGTGTTTTACAGTTTGACGACATCTGCAATAAAGAAACACTTGATTTTAGATAAAAAAAATGATGTAAATCTTTAACAATATCAAAAATCACATATTACGATTCAGTATACTAGTAGTAGTATTTCAAGATTCAGTTTCAGGTAAACGTCTACAAAAAAATCAGAATTCATGTTTCAGATTCACTTTCAACTTAAAAAAATATGATCATATATTAGCGTCTGTTTCGAACAGCTGAACTGGATGAATGTTGAAAACTTGCATAAGTTTCATTTATTAAGATATGTTGACAAACTCCTACGTACTTCGATTCCTTCATTTTTGAAAAAAAATATATATATCGTGAATATATCCATTCATGCACACTTTAACTATGCCTCTTCACAAAACTTTTTTAATTCATAAAGGATTTACCTATCAAGCCATCAATCTATATAATGCACTACCATCGTTAGTTAAACGTCTTGATTTCAATAATTTCGAAAATCAAATTAAACAAACTATCTTTGATGCTCAAATCTGAAACTCCCAGTATATTGTTGATCCATATTTCCTCATATTCTCCATTTTATATAAATCGTTTATATTTTTTGTGCACTCATGTGTACGTTGTATTTAACGTGTAATTTTTGTTTAAATTTTGCAAGAATATTTTGTTAAAATTGTTATGAATATTCTAGTGCTAGTTATTTTCAAGGGTTAAGTGGTGGCTTTGTAGCTAAAAAGTCGTTTATTATTATTATTATATTTAGATTGGAAATAACAGTATGTGAGACTTAATTGACGCCATTTCTTTAGATACCACCTAGAAAGAAAAATCTTCCACCAATTACTAGAACTGAAACGGCACCAAATCCGAGCAGGCCAACACAATGAAGCTGTGTTGGTAAAAAGAGCCATAGACTCTTATAATCAATCTTGTGCTTCAACCGTTGGGGTCGGAAAGTACATTCCCGAGGACTACTCGTTCAAGAGTTTCGAGAAGTTCCTGTACGAAGCTTTGAGAAAGCTGCAGAAAAACGGTACGGAGTACATGAAGGGTTTGCCTTTTGGACAGCAAAACGCGAATCCCTTGTTGTGTACCAGAAGTACGAATAGGTGTATGCATGCTACGCATGCGTATACGGGAGTTCCTTGTGCAGCGTATTGTGAGTATATTTTTAATATAGCTTTTTTCAATATTTTATCGGTTATTCCTACCACATTTTTATCGGTTTTCTGAAACGTTCATGATCTAGAAAATATTTTTGTGGGACGCCATATGATGAATTTTAAATTACCCCCTGAATATAGTGCGGTGGGGGCTCAGGATTCATGTTGAGGGAGATGTTCTTCTCGGGCGGATCGGCGATTGCAAAGTGAAGAGCGAGGGAATGGGGATTGCAAGTTGAAGAACGCTGTGGAGTCGTTTGCAAATTGAAAAACACATTCTAATTTATTTAAAATATGAATCCAATATGCCGGATACTACTAAATGGCGATTTATCATTTCCATAGTCACCTCTATTGAATTTATAATTCCAATTTCTCGAATATTTTGGGAATTTTGAACCAGTTAACCTTAACCAATTCAGCTGAAATTTTGTGTACATATTTGGTTCGCGTGACAGTACCAAATAAATAAACTGCCGCCATTTTGAATCCAATATGGCGAATGCTACAAAATGGCGATTTATCAGTTGCATTGTCACTCCTATGGCATTTATAATTTCCATTATATAGGTATCAAATAAAAGTGCTTTAGGAGAGAAACGTAACAAGCAACGTGACGTTATTCTAAATCTAATATGGAGGCCACCGCAAACTGACGATTTATAATTATCATGGTCACCGCTATGATATGGGCGTTAAACGAAAGAGCTTAATAACTGAAACACAATGAGCAAATAACAAACATTTTATACATACTAAAAAAAAGTAAATAAAATAAGAAAAATACGTTTTTAGAAACAAGCTTTTACTTAGCTGGTAATAAAGTGAGCTAAAAATTTTAAAATATTTTGTCCAAAAATAATAGCAAACAGATGTGGAAAACGTTGAAAAACATTGTTTATCTTATTAGAAGAAATATATTATCTAAAATGGTGTTCGACGATCGGGTAATAGCAAATGAAGAAATAATAGCAGATTGAATGAATACCTATTTCACAGAGAGTATCAACGACATTGTGGGATCAATTATTAACGGGGATCCCAACCAATGTCCCATTAGATCAGATTATAATGCATCATTCAGTGAGTTTAGAACAATAAACATTAATCGTCTCAAGAAGATTATATGACAAATTAAATCAAATCAAAATAAGAGTGAGATTTTGTCTAAAAGTGTGCTTAATGAATATTTTGATATTATTGGAGTAAGAACATTAATCCTGACAAATTACTGCTTAAAATATTTGGCGAACTTCCAACAAAACTGAAGTGTTCTACCATAACTCCTGTTCCGAGAGTTAAGAATTCTGAGTTGTACACCAATATGGGGCAATTAAATGAAAAAGTCTTTGAAGAAATTTTTTACGAACAGATCATCGAATTGATTGAGGAAAATAAAATTTTAACCAAATTGCAAGCTGGATTCAGGAAGAAACACTCAATTGAAATCACAACACAAATGGTTTTAGATGACTGGAGGAGATGTATGGACAATAAGAAACATGCAGTAACAGTGTTTTTGGACTTCAAAAAAGCGTTTGAGACTATTGATAGGAATAAATTACTTACAGAATTGCATCATTACGGACCTAAACGATCTGTATTTAAAATTCGACAAATCTATCAATTAACAGAAGTCTAAAAACCATAATTGGATCTACATTACCAAGCTCAAAAAATATTCCTGTTGGTGTACCACGAGGTAGTAAACTAGGTCCACTACTATTTGTTTTATACATTAATTCCATTTGCAATATTTCAGATTATTGTAAAATTCAGATATTTGCAGATGATACATTAATATACATATCAGATGAAAATATAGAAACTGCTCTAAGAATGCTAAATTCTGACTTGGAAGAAATCATAAATTGGTAAATAATCTAAAATTAAATACTTTTTAAACAAAATGGAACAGGGAAATACCTAAATGAAAATAGTATCACAGTTAGGACAAATGGTCAAATAATTGACAATGTTAAATCAATTAAATACTTAGGTATATATGTACATGGTGGACGGAATATTACTCATAAACAAGTACATTTTGGGAAAATATATTTATGGCATCTTATACATGACATTTGAGGGCACATTTCTAAAATATTGGTCATTATACAGGATGTCCCAATTTCCACCTACATATCAAAGATTGATTTTTGAAATGGAATGCCTAAAATTTTATTACATATTTTTGGATAAACCAATTCAAAAGAAGAAAATTTATACGAGCCCCTTCCCACATCAGTTGGCCTACTTCAAGATTTGTACCAAAATATGCCTTTATAAACTAAACATGACGAAACTAGTTACTTCTAAAACAATTTATTCTCACAAAAACATGTTAGATACACTCTAGTCGTAAAAAATACATATTTGAAATCACTTAGACCTATAACTACTAGAACATCTGAACAAAAAAACAATGTGCGAATAAATGCGCGAAGTTAATAAAGCAACAATTGAAAGATTACCATTGGGTAACATCACCTTTATTTTTTATTACGGCTGAAATTCTTTGGGGCATAGTGTTAAACAAGTTTTGGCAAAAATTTGGTGTAAAACAATCCCATATTTCTTGAAGCTTTTGTCTCAGTTCGGTGATTGTACGAGCAGGATGTTGTCGTAGAACCTTTTTCATCTCGTGCCACAAAGTTCCAATAGGTGTCAGATCTGGACTGCTAGAAACCGATTTCAAAAGTGGTACATCATTTTCTTCCATCCATTTTATAGCCTTTTTTGAGGTATGGCATGCTGCAACATCTTGCTGAAACACAACATCTTCCATCACTGGTAAAAGCGATTCTTCGAAAATTGCCAAATATTTGTTTGTGTCCACATTTCCATCAATAAAAGGAAGTTTTCCTACTCCTTTTGATGGCATACTGCCCCAGACCATAATGAACGCTGGAAATTTCGCTTTTCTCTTCAGACAGTCAACATGGGGGAATACTTCATTTTTGTGCGAATATCTCTACTGCGACTGTCACCAACACAAACTTCGAATCGGGCCTCATCACTCCATTGTATTGCACACCATTGTTGAGGTGTCCATTGTCTATATTCTTTAGCCCATCTAAGCCGATTTTTCTTTTGCAGTGAAGTTAATAGTGGCATTTCTTTGGCCTATAAACAAGTTGTGCAACTTTAGGGTTTTTACTTCACTTTTTTTTATAAGTAAACGTACCTTGCAAGTGCTAAATCCCAGTTTGTGGGCCTCCACTCACTCCACAGAGCACTTAATTGTAAATAATTGGCACGCCTGTTTTTCACGATCATTCTCCTTAATGCTCTTCGGTCGGCATTTGTGATATTACTTTTTTTCATATATCGTGATTAATATTAACTGAACCAGTTACGTTATATCTTCTAACAATATTTCTCACAATGTACCGCGATAAGTCTAACAAAGTTGCAATTTCTGAGTTTGATTTCCCAGAATTAAAGAATTTAGTTATCAGTAACCGAAATTTCTCACTAATAACCTTTCCTCTACCCATTTTGAAAACCTTAACTACCCAAAACTATTTTAAACGTATTCTGACAGCTGTGATTAATAAAAACAATTTTCATGGCTTTTATTTTTCACAGCCACCTATGCGTTATAGACTTGTCTTGCATTGAAATGAAAATAGGTTGATATGCTGTAATTGCAACATGTGTTATTTTTATGCTGCAAATTTGATTAGGGAGTAATAAAGTTGGTGTTTTCTACTATATATTATCAAAATATTTATTGTCAATATTTTAAACCTATAACACCCTGCTACATTTTTATTATTTGTGTTTGATAAGAAAAAAACTAAGACTTCAATAGTTGGGCCAACTGAAATGTTAAGGGGCTCATATAACATACTATGTGGTTTTGGTAATTAGTTACAAAGATATAAGCTGTTTTGTCTAGAAAAACCCCCCACTTCGGCAACCCCTCAGTCCGCCATTTTGAAATTTGGAATGCTGAATTTTGAGTAAAAATCAACTTCCACACCTCAAATCTTATCTTATTTGTTACTTTTTCGAATTCTAAGTTTTGCTCATACTGGGTGGTCAAAAACGCAAGTTGTAGTTTTTCTCAAAAATCTCAAATGCATCACCCTGTATATTTGTGCAAGTTTGGATTCAATTTTTTATAAGCTTTTTTTTTGATACTAGTCACATAAGGGTTTTCACAGCTATCCTTGGAAACAAATAAATTGTTGATTAGTTACAAACTGTCAAAATTAGCTTTGTGAGCATTATAATAAAAACGTGTTTGAAGATGAATTTTTCTAAAGAAGAAATGATAAATATGGTGTTCGTTTTGGGCGAATCCCAAAGAAATAGTTTCCTAACATCTCACATTTATAAGCAACGGTACCCTAATATGCGACATCCAAGGCCGGAAACATTTTCCACACTAGGAGAACGTTTTGAATCAAGTGGAGCAGTGGAATATAGTAAAAAATGTATAAATAATCCAAGTGTCACCAATGAGGCGAATCAGATGGAGGTTGCAGGAAAATCCCCATTTAAGTGCACGGCAAATTGGAGCAGAAACTGATATATGCAGAACGTCAGTCCAAAGGATTATTCACAAGCACAGGTACCATCCATATCACCTATGCTTGCATCCAGGCCTTCGTCCTCAGGATTGCGCAGCTCGAATGATGCTAAATAAAGTGAGTGAAGACACTACTTTCCTGGATAAGGTCCTTTTTAGCGATGAGGCAACAGCATAGGTGTTGTCAACAGGCATAATATGTGCACTATTATGTGACGTAAAACCCTTACTGGGTTAGGCAACTAGATTTCCAAAATAAATGGAGCTTGAATGTTTGGGGAGGAGTTATTTGCAGACAAGTTGTCGGGTCTTTCTTTTACAGATTAACAGGTACAGAATACTTGAATTTTTTGATTGAGCATTTGCCTTTGCTTTTGGAGGATGTCAACCTGCAAATTCGGATGCATATGTACTTCCAACATGACGGCGCACCTGCGCATTATCATAATCATGTGCGTAACTATTTGAACACCTGGAGTAACAATCGTTGGATCGGTCGTGATGGGCCTATATCTTGGCCTCCTAGATCACCAGATATGACACCGATGGACTTCTTTCTATGGGGCTACGTTGAGCAAGAGGTTTACAGATATCCACCATCTACCGCGGAAGACATGAAGGAAAGGATTAAGGATGCGTTTCTGAACATAAGGGAACACATGCTGAGGGATGTGCAACGGTCATTTGTCCAAAGACTACTGCTGTGTATTCAACATGGTGGAGATATTTTCGAGCAGTTTTTGTAGATTAGGTCTTCAGTAATGATAGTTGTTTGTTTACGTTGTTGTTATAGTTGTTTTTCTTTATTACGCTTGAAGCCGATTTATACTGTTCTGATTGTTATTAGTTTTTACGTCAAGTCTGTACTGTTAGTGGCAGTATGGAACTAGCCGACTGTTTTTCTTTTGTTTCCATGGATGATGTGATTTTTTTCCTTAATTTTGGTGTGTTGTTCTATTAAAAGCTTAATAACTCAAAATCTAGAGATTTTATCTGAATCAAACCTCATTCCAAAAAAAAGCTTATAAAAAAATGAATCCAAACTTGCACAAATATACAGGGTAATGCATTTGAGAAAAAGTAAAATTCGCGTTTTTTGCCACCCTGTATGAGCAAAAATGAAAATCCGAAAAAGTAACAAATAAGATATAAGCTAAGGTGTGTAATTTTTTGGATACAAAATTTACTCCAAATTTCAAAATGGCGGATTGAGGGGTTGCCGAAATGGGCGCTTTTCCTGGATAAAACACCTTACATGTCAGTAGCTAATTACCAAAATCCCACAGTGTGTTACATCAATATTCTTCTTTTGAATTGGTTTATTCAAATGTGCAATAAAATTTGAGGCATTCCATTTAGAAAATCAAAAATTTGATATTTAGGTCAAAATTGGGACACCCTGTATAATTGCCAATATTTTATAAATGTGCCCTGAAATGTCATGTATAACATGCCGTAAATAGATTTTTCCAAAATGTATATGATAGTGAATAAAAGTTTGAGGATCACTATGAATACATTTTTTCAAAAAAACTAATTACTTTTATAGGGTTTCTCATAGTCTTGGTATACATTCCAAAAAAAAAAAGTTTATCATACAATTCTACCGCACTTACTATATTGCTCAACTATCTTGTTCACTGCCAATGAAGCTGTATTCTCAAAATTTCAAGTACTGCAAAATAAAGCTATGCAAATTTTGTTTTCTCTAAATATCTGTATGTTATGTAATTGTTTAGTTTTTTAAAATAATGTATTTGTAGCAATCATGCTAAATAAATCTTAAATCAAGAAACCAAGAAATAGGAGATATTCAAACGATAATAAAGCTTCTTTATCTCAAGTTTCCAAAGGAAAGCGTGTTGTGTTTTGACAGCAGGAAGAGCAATGGGAAGGTCCCAATGAGAGTTTTTATGGAAACTATGGCGTTGTATCTCTGTGATCCATTCATTCAATAGATCTGGTGTGATTCTGGGAGAATTCATGTGCATATCGCTTAAACACGTTTATGTTATTGAAGTATGACGTTTTTCATTGCAGTGCCAAAAATGGACCACCACACGATCCCCAAGATCGGCTTTGACTCGATCGAATGTAAGCCTGGAACCGGTTTTCTACCCCACATCCACTCCAAAAAGGCTGTAACGTTAGAGTTGAGCCATGGTGCTGACAAACAAATCATCTCACTGCCCACTGATAGGTTAGATTCTAGCAAAAGGTACTACGTCACGTTTACCGTTAAAGGTAAAGACGTACCGTCACCTCATGACGAAGAGGACCAAAATGTTGAAGCTCACAGGCACTCCAAGAGTGACTGAGCGTTGTTTATTTACATGTTTGTGATGTAGTTATTGCTCGGAGTGTATGGACTGCCTAAATATCGCAGGTGAATTAAGAAAGGAATATCAAACCTCGAAGTGGATGCTCGTCAGAATCCGATATACAGGGTGTTTCAGTTTATTGTTGCATAACTTTAAGATTCGATAGAACTTTTAAAATTAATGCATAAAGTATATATAAACATGGGTCGAAAAATGCGTTGCTTCCGAAATACAGGGTGTTTAAACTTACTTTCTAAAATAGTTTTTTTTTAATATTTCGAACAATATTTGATGTATAACAGTGAAAATTGGTATACAAGGGTTTTTTGGTACGAAAAAACGAACCATGGGCACAGTTTTACTGTAGCCGCTAGAAGTCGCTATCTACTGTACCTGTAGTGTATTAAAATGACCGCAAAATTTTTCTTAGTGCAATTTTTTGCTTTATGAATAAAAAAACTGATTCTTCGCATTTTTCAACATAAAAAAGCTCTCCTGTGAGTTTTCTTTATAGTTAGCCGTTTTTGAGATATTTCGATTTTTAAGGTTCGATGCATTTTTAATTATTTATGGGAAAATAATATTTTTTTTTACATTTTCGATTTGGGCATTACAAGTAATTAAGATGATCGTTTAGATTGTGTTTTTAAACACAGCAATAATTCCTAACTCCAAATAAACACAAAAAACAGAATACTAATTTGTTTAATTTTCCAATATAATTTTTAACAAATTAAATTAATTATTTACAACTAAAATGCTATTGGATAGTTAGGACAAACATACAAAATCTAAAGTAGTTGCTCGAAATGTTCAATACACAATTCACATCTACGAATGATCGAACGTGGTATAGCATTATTCAAATAAGGCCTTATTTTATCATATGCATTCCTGATTCTGCCTATTAGCATATCTCTTGTGGTTACGGGAGCCTGGTACATTTTTCTTTTAGAAATCCCCACACAAAGAAATCTAATGGAGTTAGGTCAGGGGATCGTGGAGGCCAGGCGACTGGTCCTCCACGGCCGATCCATCTTTCTGGATAATTTTCGTCCAGCCAGTTTCTAACTATTCTCGAATAATGAGCTGGACAACCATCAAGCTGGAACCAGGCCAATCTTCTTAAATCTAACATAACATTATCCCACATATTTGCATGTTCAGCCTTTAAAAATTCCAAGAAGGTCGCAGCATTTAACCTTGCAGGCAAAAGGTAGGGTCCAAATATTCGATTACGGTAGATACCAATCCACACGCTCACACTAAATTCATGCTGAAAATTTCTTTCCCGAACTGCATGCGGATTTTCATGTGACCAAATATGTTGATTATGAAAATTTACCACTCCACGTCTAGTGAAGCATGACTCATCGGTCCATAAAACGTTACTTAAAAACTCCCTATTATTATCAGTTCTATCAAGCATCCACTGACAAAATGTGATTCTTCGTTCTCCGTCCCCTGGCTGTAGTCCTTGCACAGGTTGCAAATGGTCTATGGTCATTTCTAAGAACACGGTGAACCTGGCTTGCTGAAATTCCCAAGGCACCAGAAACTCTCCTAACACTTGTGGTCGGATCTCTATCAAACTCACGCAGAATCATACGGGTAAATCTGCGCTGACGAACATTTATGTTTTGATCCATTTGGAGATTTCCAAAACCATTTTCAATTATTTGGCGATGCACTCTTACAAATACTGAGCGAGTTGGATGTCGTCTGTTTGGAAATCTTCGTGCGTATTCTCTGGCTGCTTCTGCTGCGTTTCCATTTACAAAGCCATACACAAAATGAATATCCGCTAACTCTTGATTGGAGAATAAAAATGGCATTTTTATAGAACTTACAAAAAAAAACAGGTAACAGAAACTAAATTTCGTACATTCACAATTGCAAAAAAACGTTTCAGGTTTCAACAGACAACAAAACTAACTGTTAACTAATTGACGTTTAACCTTATTCTGCTTTCAATTTCAAAAATATTTGCAGGCACAGCCCACTTCTAAAAATTATCGAGATACTGACTTTTTAACGTTATTTTATCATAAATAATTAAAAATGCATCGAACCTTAAAAATCGAAATATCTCAAAAACGGCTAACTATAACGAAAACTCAGAGGAGAGCTTTTTTATGTTGAAAAGTGCGAAGAATCAGATTTTTTATTCAAAAGGCAAAAAATTGCACTCAGAAAAACTTTTCGGTCATTTTAATACACCACAGGTACAGTAGAGAGCGCCCTCTAGCGGATACAGTAAAACTATGCCCATGGTTCGTTTTGTCGTACCAAAAAACCCTTGTATAGCAATTTTCACTGTTATACATCAAATATTGTTCGAAATATTTAAAAAAAACTATTTTAGAAAGTAAATTTAATTTCGGAAGCCACGCATTTTTCGACCCATGTTTATATAAACTTTATGCATTAATTTTAAAAGTTCTATCGAAACTTAAAGTTATGCAACAATAAACTGAAACACCCTGTATAGCACTTTCAATGTGACCTTTGTAACCTGAGTTAAAGCCAACCATACATGCTAATGTCAGTTACAATCCTGGTGGTGTACCGCGTATGGTCACCTTAACTCCAGGTAAGGAGACAGCTTGCGACTCTTCCAGTTCAATGAGTAACCTTCATACCTTATCAGAGTTTATTGTTTAAGGAAAACGAAACAACAGAAATGTTATGAAAGCCCAAAATACAACAAATCAGTTCGGTATTAAACTTTGATTATCAGCTGATTCCTCCTGAATATCTGGTTGATACTTAAAATTTACATAATCAGCATGATTTTATGAATAATTTTGAGTTTTTTTTTTAATTCTTCATAATAAGTTCTAGAATTAGGTAGACCATACACTCCAAGAATTATTTGTTTAATAGTTTTGTTAGCGAAGTTGAAATATCTGTTGATATATGTTGAATATTCTCAAAGATATCATATATGTTGTTTAATGCTTCCAAAGTACTTTCATTTATGGAAAAATACTCGTTAGCTTAGCGAATCTGGAAAAACGGGTCTAAGGCACTGGAGAAAATACTCATACAACGTAACAATATGAACGGTCATTTTGTGCAATACTACTCGTTGTAGGCGCTTTGTTTATACCCTTATTTTTTTCGTAAGCATGTTGATGTACAGTGGAGATTTTAATAAATATTTTTTAATTACATGTTTGTTATTTATTTGTCAACTGAATGAAAAGATTGCTCACATAAAAGTAAAAACCAGAAAACCTGAGTTAAAGTCAACCATACATGCTAACGACAGTGGGTATTTCCAATTACAAGCCCGAAGGTGTACTGTGTATGGTCAGCTTTACTCCAGGTAAAAATGACAGCCTGCGTCTCTTCCAGTTCAATGAGTAACCTTCATACCTTATCAGAGTTTATTGTTTAAGGAAAACGAAACAACAGACATGTTATGAAAACCCAAAATACTTGAACCATAACATTTTCATATTCAGCATCATTTTGAGTATAATTTTGAGGTTTTTTAATTTGTTCATAGTAAGTTCTTTCTATCTCAAAGTGATATCTATAATCAACAATTATTCTGGAAGAACCTTAAATCACTATCGCGGTCATCAGGATTAGTAAAAATTTCAAACTATGTTCCAGAATTGAGTAGTCCATACAGTCCAAGTATTGTTTATTTAATAGTTTTGTTAGCGAAATTGAAATATCTGTTGATATATGTTGAATATTCGCAAAGATACCCAATATGTTGTTTAATGCTTCCAAGGTACTTTCATTTATGGAAAAATACTCGTTAGTTTAGCGAATCTGAAAAAACGGGTCTAACGCGCTGTAGAATGATGTATGGTGCAAATACTAATGCAATGTAACAATATGAACGGTCATTTTGTACAATACTACTCGTAGTAGGCGCTTTGTTTATACCCTTATTCTTTTGGTAAACATGTTGTTGTACAGTGGAGATTTTAATAAATATTTTTTAATCACGCGTCTGTTATTTATTTGTCAACTGAATGAAAATATGGCTGGCATACAAGTTTCTTATAAACAAACAAAACAGGTCTGTATGCGAAGTGAAAAGCAGAAGAGGAAGTATTTTGATCCTGATAAGAAAAAACTTACAGCACTAGGTAAGTATAGTTTTACAGTTACAAAAACTTTGACTTCAATGTCTCGTAACAGGTTTATCTGTAGTGTGTATCATAATGACATGATAATCTCGCCTAAGCATATGAGTTTTGTAAGGTGCATCTCAAAAAAATTATTGGATTTGCGGATGATGGTCACCTAATTCTCATATTAAATCAAGAAATTCTTCATGTGTCACCTAGCTCATCTTTTCTTACTTCCCACGCCTACTGGCGACAGACAGTCAGACTGACGGAAATGGGTGACATGATTTTTCGTGATTTACATGTCATATATCGACTAAAAAACTTAATGCCTCATTTTTGAAAATGTTCGCCGGTAGGTGTGAGATGTAAAAGGAAATATCGATATGCGAATTCTGGACTTTCTAATGTTGTTAAAACTGTGCTTTTTTGATGGAATTTCCACGTTCTGTATCCACCAGAAATAAAAACAAATTTTGAACTACCCGTCTCACATGCTTGGGTTGTTCTTTATGGGGAGAGCCGAGATGAGCAAATTAAGTCGGCATATCGGTAAAAAATGTCATATTCTAAGGTGTTATCACCAGAGCCGGTTCTACCGGGTATGCAGTGAATGCCCCGCACGCAGGCGCCAAATTTATAGGGGCGCCAAATACTTGGTTATTTGGTTCACGTTCCAGAAATATTTTAATTAATATTTTCCGTTCTGTATGCTGAGATATCTTAGATATCATTTGCCAATAGCCCTCAGTACCCTGGAGTAGATGCGAGTAGTCGAATGCTAAGTTGCCTACAGTGTCTGTGACAATATGCGTTTATTGTGAATTTTATTGTGAGGTGACTAATAAACTACTACAAACAAATAAGTAAAGGAGTAAACTAGTACATGTTAATCAATCTAAGATCCCTTGCACACCACGTTTCTTTTTCAAATGCTAGTCATGTTGAACAGCTTACTTTCATATTTCGCTTCGTTCATTGTTCTTCAAACGAAGTTGAAATTATGGAACATTTTTTGGGGTTTTTCAAAGTTTTGGATACTACAGGTGAAGGGCTTTTCAACTTTTTAAGACAAGAAATATTATCAAAATGCATGTGTGCCTTCAAGCTCAAATTCAAAAATATAACTCCAGAGCAATGTTTTTGCCTTGTTCAGCTCATACGTTGCATTTAACTGTCAATGATACAGCTAAAGTTTTTTTCAATTGTTCAGGAGCTATTCAATTTTTTTCTGCTTCACCCTACAGATGGAATACTTCGAAAAGGAATGTGCCAAACTTAACTTCGAAATTAGTAAGTGAAACTCGATGGAAAAGCCGAGTCAAAGCCATTCGCCGATCGAAAAAAGTTTGGTGGAAGATGATTCCAGGGATATGTCCACAAAACATTCAGCAATATCACTATTAGACAAAATCAAAACATTGTTCTTTCATAATTTGGTATGATCTGTTAACAAAGATTAATATAGTAAGTAAAATTATTCATAATCCAAACACCACTTTAAATGAATTCCACAAAGAAATAAAAAGTCTTATATTTTACTGAAAGAAGATCAGACTATTTCGAGACCTACTGATATCGCCAACTTTTTTGGCAAATATGTATCCACTGTAATTGGCAAGAAAATGGCCCAAAATTTTACCGTTTTGTCGGATTCCTGCACTACTGGTGAAACAGCCAAACAATCAATGTTTTTCACCCATGTCACTACTGATGATGTTATATTTGTGATAAGTAATATGCCAGACAAGAAATCTACAGGGCCTGATGAAATTCCAATCTATATAGTAAAACAGAACATGGATATCTTTGCCCCAGTATTAGCAGACATCATTAATGAGTCTCTTATACTGGCATCGTTAATTATGATATTTAAAAAAGGTGAAAATTGTGATGTTGAAAACTATAGGCCAATCACGCTATTAAGTATTTTCTCAAAAATCATTGAAAAAGTGGTTGCAATGAAAATTGAAAATTACTTTCTTAAATTTGCTATTATCACATATGCTCAACATGGTTTCAGGGCAGGCTACTCAAATGAAACAAGCATGATCGAGTATGTTCAGTATGTTTGTGATAAACTTGATTTAGGTAATTACGTAGTGAGTATCCAATTTGACTTGTCTCAGGCCTTTGATTGTGTAAGTTCGTCATTTGTGGCCGTTAAACTTCATCATGTTGGCATTCGCGGATGTTTGAATCAATGGCTAGTTAGCTTTTTAGAGAATAGAAAATTTTATGTTACTGTCGCTGATAAAAAATCTGATGAATTCAATTTAGATTGGGACACAGCTCAAGGCAGCGTCCTTGGACCACTTATTTTCTCAATTTTCATAAATGATTTGCCTGCACACTTATCCTACGGAAAATTACTTTTGTATGCAGATGACACAAATATCATTTTAGCTGACTCATCGCAAGATCGTCTTCAAGAAAAAATTAATGATTCGGTTAATGAGTTCAGTCAATGATGCTTCAAAAACAGATTAATAATAAATACAAAAAAGACCGTTTCAGTTGAATATTTTATGAAACCAAAAATTCCGTCAAATTTTAATTTCAGTCTTCAATGCAAGACAGTTGTAACTTCCAAAAAAACTGTTTTTTTAGGTGTAAGCTTTGATTGCAATTAAGATGGACAGAGCAAATTGATTCCGTATGTAAGAAACTTGGGAAAAGTCTGTATTTAATACTTACGCTAGGGAGGATGTTAAACACCTCAGCATTAATGGATGTCTACTATGCATGTGTACACTCTGTCATTTCATATGGCATTACTGCGTGGGCCCAGGCTAGTGAAATCTCTAGTGTTTGTCTTACAAAAAAGAATCATTCGCATTATATTTAAAATACGGTCCAGATCTTCCTGTCGTGAGATATTTGTTAAACACAAAATACTTACAGTAGCATATATATCTTTATAATCTTTTAACATATATTTTTCAGCACAGAAATGATTATCTTAAGCGTACTGACATCCATGACTACAGCACTCGTAATAAAAATAATATAGTTAGGCATGTATCATATCATACGTTTCATTCAAAATCTCCCATAACAGCAGGCATATACTTTTTTAATTTATTACCTCCGGAGATCAAAGACGTAAACTCCGTAGGGCTTTTCAAAAGACGTTTGCGGAACAAGCTATCGGACTGCGGTTTTTATGACCTAGGTGAATTTGTCACATTCCACAGTGCTTCTGATAGATCTTAACAAATAATTTATTGCGATGTGTGTATCATATGGTTTTTTATGTTCTTATTGTTAGTTGTATTTTACTTCCTTTTATCTATATTTTAATCTGTATACACCGACTTATCCAATGTCTACAATGTAGATCAAACTGGATCAATAAATGAATCTGAATGTGAATCTGATTGTTATAGATGTGGCTGTAGCAGAAGCAGAACAAAATTATATTGATCAGACATTCCCTTTATTGAGGCAAAGAAAGCCGAAGCGTCAGTCCCCATATGAAGGTACAGATGAATCAGTTTTGGGTCCTAAACAAAAATTTAAGACATGCTTTTATTTTACAATTTTGGACACAACCATTCCTCTCTTTGGTTTTTTGAGTGATCTCTGAAATCTGGAGTCTGATGTAATCAAGCGGTCATGTATAGGTTAGGATTTGGCTGTGCAAATACAACATAAAAAAATGTATCCAAAGATATTGACGGTCTTGATCTACACAATGAAATTATGTCATACAAAATTCTCATTTTTCCAGACTCTAATAAAATTCGCACCCTACCAATTTCGGTGGTTTCTGGCCAGAGGAGTTTCTGGAAACTGAATCTTATGAATAATTACTTAAGAACATCAATGTCAAATTAGGCATTAATTTCAATTAAAAATAAAATCTGTGATGCCATTGATGACAATTAAATGTGTGTTTTGATCAATTTATTATTAGTTATGTACTCATACTATCCTTTTTGTGTAATATTCCAAAATTTAATGCTAATTAACGCATTTCTACTGATGTTTTAGCCTCGTACTGTATTGCAGTGACCTTTTTTGTGTGACATTATAAAAATAAATTCTTCAAACTGGGGTCTTTTATTTTTCTTTTTTATATCAATTGTATGGATGACATATAACATTGTAACGATATGTTATGATATTAGGGCATTGTAAATTCAAAACATAGAAGCGCCCCAAAAGTTCTGCATGCAGGCGCTCACCACCATAGGAGCGGCTCTGGTTAGCACACCTTCAAGGAACATTGTGTACAAAAGGGTATTTAAAAGGTCCAACCAGCAAAAATATAGAGAACTTTATTGTGAAAATATATAACAATATTAAATAACAACCTACTTTCATCTTAAACAGTTCTATACATACATATAGTGCTTAGAGGAACAACAAGATATGCATTGTAAATATAGATTTTTATAAAAAAATATTTTTATCAAATCTGTTATGCTGCATTAAGCGTACAAGTATCACAGTTTGGAAGTTACACTGTATCTTTGGTGAAGCGTGTCCCATAGTCCCATAGCTTCCTTTTCAGGATGCTCATCAAGCAATGTCAAATCCTCGTCGATGTTCAAAACGTAGAAACGTTCCTTTGAGATCGGTTTCCATTCGACTGGCAGTATTGGATCTTTTTTGTCTGGTGTAGGATTGGCGTGCTTGGCAAAGTTTGTCCACAATTTTACCATACGAAGGATGCCGATCATTTCTGGGCTGTCTCTGTCTGACACTTCTACGGTGCCGCTGTTTTTGAAAAGGTATGAGAATTCGTCAGCATGACAAGCACCTAAAATGAGTACAATATCAGAAAGGTAAAAAAATATCATTAGCTACCAAAGCGGGAGACAGCAGCTTAACACATCGTACACCTTGCTACTGCCTTCCGTTTCGGTACTAAACTATAACAAAGTATAAGGTCATTTGAACATCTCATAAGCATCAAAGGCCGGGGGGCTTGGGTAATGGTTACGTGTGCATTTATTACCTATTCGATCGAAATAGTTAACCTATTTGTGTTTAAAAAACATAATGTGTTGATTTTTCTTAAATACACTATAACACACCTTTCTCTGTATATCCATACAAAATCTTCATGAAGTTCAGTTCTGTTTCCAAACAAAATCTGTAGAAGTATATCGGGTGTTTATTATTTTCTAAATGGAGCTTAGTGCATCTGTAAATTTCATAAAAAAAGAAATTGTCCGTGTAGACCTAGAAGAAAAATTCAGGTAAGCATTCGACATGATCATTTATAAAATAATACTCAATATTTCATTTATGAAAAAGTCGTGATAACCTCAATTAAACTTCGTAAGATGCAAGCTCACATCAATGAACTTGTAAATCTTGAGTCACGTATATACATATACAGGGTGTTTACAGACTGAATGTCAATATTTAAAGGAGCGATTTTTGAGTCTACTATAAGATGAAGGCTTCATATGAAGGTATAGGTATAAGCGTCTTTTCCTTTGATATACAGGGTGGTGCAGTTTTTAAAAACAAATCATTTAATATTAACTGTAAATACCACTTCACATATTTTAATGAAATTTGGCATGCATATACTTTGTATCCGATGCACGGTTTTCGCTTTAAAAATGAAAACCGTTTCTCTGAATATTGCTAATATCATATCACCACGCAGAGCAACAGCTTTTATTTGTTTAGGTGGAAACCATGCGTGTAAATAAAAAAAAATTCCTAAAATCTAATCGGCTCATAAGTGAAAACAGATCTCATTTTTTTCTTTTAAGTAAAGTCAGTGGAGTCCTGTGGACTTTATTGAAAACCTTGCCACCCTGTACATACACAACTTGAGTAATTTAAAACAAACGTTCATATGAGGTTTTCTTCTTAAAATTAATCCAGAAACCGCCCCTTTCAATATTTACATTTAATTAGGAAACATCCTGGATAGCATTGCAAAATGATGTATGCTTCAACACACTTTTTGGAAGAAATCGATACTTGATATTGATAATTTCAAAAGGATTTATGCTCCTGAATCTGGAGAACTTCCTTATAAGAAATGGTATTCCAAAACGTACCCTAAAAATATCGTCTATATTAGACTTGGGATCATGCCCTTTGAAGTAGAACCTCTTAATCTGCTCCACAACCTCCTTGTACTTCCCACTGCCCTTCCTCAAATTCAAACTAGCAGGTACCAGCGTCTCGTCGCTCAAAAGGTGGTTCTTTTTCATGTTCGCCGTACACATCGCATACACGAACATCCCCTCCCTAGAACAACTGCCCACAATCATGGGCACCTTGTTATACCGTCCGGATTTGATGATTTTCAGGGGATGCTCGCTTATGAAGGCGGGTTCGTGAGTTGTGGTTTCTATTGTGGGCGCGAATGGACGGTACCTGCCTATATAAAATGGCTGGAAAGAAAAATGTGGTTATATCGGATGTTTCGGATTACACGATAACCATATGCAATTGAATAAGGTATAATATACGAACAAATCATAGAATTAAATAAACAAAATTTTGATAAAACACCAAGCTGGATTTAGAAAAAAATGTTCCACAGAAACGGCAATCCAAATGGTGGTGGAAGACTGGAAAGAGAGTATAGATGAGAAAGAATACTCGTATATTGTAGCAATCTTTTTTTACTTCAAAAGGGCATTTGTTAATGAAATTGCATCACTATGGCTTTAAAGAATCAGTATTACACATTTTACAAAATTATTTAGTGAATAGAAGTCAAAAAACTAAAGTTGGAAATATTATGTCAAGTGTTCAAAATATATCAGTAGGGGTGCCACAGGGGAGTAAATTAGGGGCGTTACTATTTATTATTTATATAAATGATATCTCTGACATTTTAGAACACTGCAAAGTTCAAATATTTGCGGATGATACACTTATATATATATATATACGTGTCGTGCCATAAGTTCTGTCCCATGATAATCTCATGATAAAAATGAAACAAGATAAGATATATTTATATGAAAGATATTATTTATTCGACAACATTTTTAGAATTCATAATCAAACAGTTTTATTCAAAATGTCCCCCCTTGGCCTTCACACACTGCTTCAATCTCGCGGGCCACTCATCTATCACTGCACGCACAGCTTCCAAAGGAATAGCTGCCGCTGATCGGATCAAATCCGCTTTCAGGGACTCGATATTACGGTGGGCTTTGGAGCAGGCCAACTGCTCTAGCAGGTCCCACAACTTGTAGTCTAAAGGATTGAGGTCCGGACTCCCTGAGGGCCAATCTTCCGCAGCAATGAACTCTGGCACATTGCTTTCCAGCCAGCGCTGCGTACTCTTAGCCATGTGAGCGGGGGCGGAATCCTGCTGGTAGACCCAGTGTTGGTTGGCAAACAATGTACCACTTAAAGCCTTGACGATAGGATCCAGTATGTCGCTCTGATAGTTTGCCGCTTTTGTTTTCACGCCCTGTTTACAGAAATGGAGCTGAGTGACCCCTTCGTAGGACACCCCCCACCAAACCATGACTGACGCAGGGTGGTGGCCTCTCTCAACTCTCGGAATGATCTCCGAAGCTTCCTGTGAACTCCTTGCATACACTTTGTCATTTTGTCGGTTGAATTTTTCTTCTATGGTGAAGATTTTCTCATCCGTGAACAAAATCTTTCGGAATCCCCCAGCTGCGTACCTCTCCAAGAGCTTCTTGGATCTTGTCGCCCTGATGTGTCGCAAGGTGGCCGTAAGTCGCTGGCCCGTACGTCTCCGGTAAGCCCCTAGCCCTAGGTCTTGTTTAATGATGCGCGACATCGTCCGGACAGGAATCTTCATTTCCCTGGATAGGATCTTCTGCTTCCGGAGTGGATTCCTTTGAATCCTGGCTTTTACGGCTTTGATGGCTGCTGGAGTCCTTACTTGACGAGGTCTTGCGCTTCTTGGCCTGTCATCAACAGAGGACGTCTCATTGTACCGCTGAATGGTCATAGACACAAATTTACGCGATATTTGAAGGCCGCGTAAGAGTTCAAAAATCTGACTAGCACTGTGATTACACTTATGTAAAGCTATTACTGCAATACGGTTCTCTGCCTTGCCCCACTCCATCGTTATGCTTCGAGAGATCAATACAAACTGAGGTATATGTAATTACCCGAAAAGCGCTTAATCAACTGACACCACAATGTAAACAATCGGACAAGTATTAACAGGTCTACACTTGTTTGAAAACGAGGGACAGAACTTATGGCATGACTATGTATAGCACATAAGCATTTGGACACTCAAAAAATTATGAATTGGTTAAATGTCAATAAACTTAAACACTAATAAAACAAAATGTATGTCAATAGGGAAACATTTAGGTGGCAATACAATTAGGCTCCTAATTGATGATGAAAAAATTGAAGTAGTCGAGTCATTTAAATATCTTGGTATATTTATGTAGATAGTAAGCTGCTGTTTCACGAACATTATGAATACATTATTTCAAAAATATCGAAAAAGATAAATTACTTCTATAGAGTTTCCCATAATCTTAATATGTATTCCAAAAAAATTGTGTATAACACTATAATTCGTCCCCATTTTTTATATTGTTCAACCATCTTGTTTACAGCAAATGAAAACATATTTTCAAAATTACAAATTCTACAAAATAAAGCTATGAGAATCACTTTAAATAAAAACAAATATACTAGGATTAAGTCTATGTTAGAAGAACCGCAGTGGTTGGATGTGAAAAATTTCATATATTAATTAGTTCTCGTATTCATATTCAAATTAAAAAATCATTTATTACCACCAAATTTAGAGAACTTCAAAAATTAAATAGTCATTATCATAAATACGAAACTAGAGGCAGTATAGATTTTCATCTGCAAAGTTGTAATAGTAGCATAACTAGTAAATCTATATTTCAAAAGGGAGTATTTGAATTTAATAAATTGAATAATGATATTAAAGAAAGTTAAAATTTAAAAATGTTTAAGGTGAAATTAAAAAATCACTTTATGAATAATCAAAATACGAGCCCCTTCCCACTTCAGTTGGCCCAACTATTGAAATCTTAGTTTTTTTCTTATCAAACACAAATAATAAAAATGTAGCAGGGTGTTATAGGTTCAAAATATTAACAATGAATATTTTGATAATATATAGTAGAAAACACCAACTTTATCACTCCCTAATCAAATTTGCAGCATAAAAATAACACATGTTGCAATTATAGCATATCAACCTATTTTCATTTCAATGCAAACTAAGTCTATAACGCATAGGTGGCAGTGAAAAATAAAAGCCATGACAGTTGTTTTTATTAATTACAGCTGTCAGAATACGTTTAAAATAGTTTTGCGTAGTTAAGGTTTTCAAAATGGGTAGAGGAAAGGTTATTAGTGAGAAAATTGGGTTACTGATAATTAAATATTTTAATTCTGGGAAATCAAACTCAGAAATTGCAACTTTGTTAGACTTATCGCGGTACAGTGTGAGAAATATTGTTAGAAGATATAACGTAACCGGTTCAGTTAATATTAAGCCCCGATATGTGAAAAAAAGTAATATCACAAATACCGACCGAAGAGCATTAAGAAGAATAATCGTGAAAAACAGGCGTGCCAATTATTAACAATTAAGTGCTCTGTGGAGTGACGCTGTTGGAAGGAGAATTTCGAGGTCCACAACTCATAGAGAGGCCCACAAACTGGGATTTAGCACTTGCAAGGTAAGTTTTCTTATAAAAAAAGTGAAGTAAAAAACCTAAAGTTGCACAACTTGTTTATAGGCCGAAGAAAAGCCACTATTAACTCCACTGCAAAAGAAAATTCGGCTTGGATGGCCTAAAGCACATAAACAATGGACACCTCAACAATGGCGTGCAATACAACGGAGTGATGAGGCCCGATTCGAAGTTTGTGTTGGTGACAGTCGCAGTAGAGTTATTCGCAAAAAAATGAAGCATTCCATGTTGACTGTCTGAAGAGAAAAGTTAAATTGCCAGTATCCATTATGATCTGGGGCAGTATGTCATCAAAAGGAGTAGGAAAACTTCATTTTATTGATGGAAATGTGGATACAAATAAATAATTGGCAATTTTAGAAGAATCGCTTTTACAAGTGATTGAAGAATGTTTGACATCCGGCCAAGATTTTGTGTTTCAGCAAGATGGTGCAGCGTGCCATACTTCAAAAAAGGCTATAAAATAGATGGAAGAAAATAATGTACCACTTTTGAAATGGGTTTCTAGCAGTCCAAATCTGTAACCTATTGAAACTTTGTGGCACGAGATGAAAAAGGTTCTACGACAACATCCTGCTCGTACAATCACCGAAGTGAGACAAAAGCTTCAAGAAATATGTGATTGTTTTACACCAAATTTTTGCCAAAACTTGGTTAACACTACGCCCCAAAGAATTTCAGCCGTAATAAAAAATAAAGGTGATGTTACTCAATGGTAATCTTTCAATTGTTGCTTTGATAACTTCGCGCATTTATTCGCACATTGATTATTTGTTCAGATGTTCTATTAGTTATAGGTCTAAGTTATTTCAAATATGTATTTTTTACGACTAGAATGTGAGAATGTTTTCGATAAGATAAATTGTTTTAGAAGTAAATAGTTTCGTCTTGTTTAGTTCATAAAGGCATATTTTGGTACAAATCTTGAAGTGGGCCAACTGAAGTGGGAAGGGGCTCGTACATAGTGACATAATTTTAATAGACAAGAATGTAAAATTACATAAAATGCATAGAAGAAAAATATGTAACCGAATCATTATACAAAATTGACATTGTAGCATTAATGGTAAATAAATCTTCAACAACAAAGAAAGAGTTCCAGAAATATGCCCAGCATGTCTCATTTGCAGACATAAGGACCAATAAAGCAGCAGCTGGACTATATATTTTGGATAACATTGCAATTTTCGATAACTGTTCACTAAGATTTATCTATCATGATAGAAGGTACTGATACTTAAGGGTAGTACTTGAGTTTAGTCGCAACAAACAGATCTTATGTAACTCAAACTGCATCACAATCTGTCTCAAAGTAGTATGACATTCAGCAATAAAAGTGATGTTAATTCAATGTAAAAATACATATAGAAATGCCTGGAATTTTTCTGTGAGTCATATTGTACTTGTCAGATGTAAAATCGGCCGCTTTTGTTCGAAAGCGAAAAGTCCTATTGAAGCAGCATTTCAGTTTCAGCAACAAACATTTTAAAAGTGTTGAAAACAGATCATATGAAGCTGAAATGTTATTGCAAAATTTTAGAAAAATTCATGGTCGTGTTCTCTGAAATATACGGCTGATACGTTTATAGCTTGTATCTCATTCATCTCTCCTCAGATTATTCTATTCCTATTCGTTGTGTAATAGAGGTACCTATAAACTAACAGAACTTATACATTTTTTAAAGATTAAAGACGAATTTGAAGAAAATAATATATGGAATCCAATATTGGATATTTTTCTTTTCAAAGAACTTTTCATTAGAAAATATATTTTATGGAAAAATTCGTTAGTCTGACAAAAAATGGTAACGACTATATATTGTCTTTATCTGTTTTCCAGATGATAATTCATACTTTTTTTTGTCTTTATTATGGAATGTGTTAAAATAAAAAACCGAACGATCTTTAACCATTGAGCCACCAAGCATGAATTTTCGAGATACGATATGAAAGCCATGGAAACCTGTCCCAGAACCATTATAATTCTACAAAGGATGTCTTCGTGACGTCAGAACCTCTTTGTGATTCAGTACAGGCAGGATCAAAATGGATCTAAGGTTTTATTTTATTTATTTAATCCTCGGACAAGGATAAAAACAGGTAGTGCATAAGACTACTTTTGTAATTTTCTCTATTTTTTTTTTTTTGTAAATATTCATCAACTTCTGACAGAAAAACAAGTAATTTACACACGAGCGCCCACAGCGGGACCCTATGATAATTTTTAGGAGGAAATTTGCCACCCTACGCTCTTCAAAAAGTTTTGACGGCATGTACACCTCCACAAGAACTTGCCACCAAACCCCCGGGAAAAATTGCTGCAGGCACCCATCTTTACACAATTTTTCTGTGTAGACAAACAGTGCCTGCTCTATCTTATTTCCAAGTTTTTTGCGTCTCGAAAAACAAATAGAAATATTCGTACGGGAAGAGCTCATTTGGAAAAGTGTCCTCATTAAGACCTTGTTTTCATTCATTTCTTCTCAATAAGTGGATGAATTACGATAAAACTGAAATATGCCTACATTACATTTTATTTGATACCGCTTAAAGATCTGTTCAAGAGTTCAAGGCATACTTACATCCCAAACTTTTTCAGCCGCTTCGTACAATTCTTCAGCAGATACTTGCTGGAGATGTTCCAATATCACCCTTTCATCGTGTGCGTGTATACCCAACACATCAGCCAATAGATGAGCACCGTGTCTTGTTGATATGGCCCAACCGTTTGTAGCACATCCACTTTGAGCTATTGCTTTGTGAAACAAACCTAAAGAAAATTTGCATCAAGTAGGTCGTCTCTACATTTCCATCGCAACCGACTTTGTGTAACAAAAACATTAAATATAGTCAAAATCACGAAAGATGAATATTACGTCATACCATAAATTGTACTGAAGTAATCAATGGACGTACGTCGATGATAAAATCACGATGTCAGGAACATGACAAAAAATGTATATTGTGATTTTGCGAAGTTAGGTTATTTCACTGTTTATTTTTATTTTCATTTTATTTCATGGTTTTGAGTGATACCTTAATAATAATTTTAGTGGGGAGTTTTTGTTTTGAAAAAAAAACAGTAGAGTAGAATACCTTAAGACAGGAACACCAAAGACCAAAGTATTATTCGACAACCTAACCTGCTTTAACATAACCTAACTATTCATCTTTCAAATATGATCGATCATGCAACATGAAAACAGCGTCTTTCTTTATAGGATACATGCAAATTAGCAATACAGTTTGTTTAGACAATAAAATTCTGTTTGTCTCTGTCTAACATATCTTCATTAAAAATAGCCACAAATCGCTGTAGTTTGTCTTTACTAGAGACTAAAATGATGGCGTAATAGTCATCTTTCGCGATTTCGACTATAGATAGTTTGTCAAATATGTCCATACAATTAGTCCATGATCCTCACCCATTTCACAACGTTACGACTTAGACGTTTCTTGCCTGCCCTACCGATAGCACCGACCTTCTGTCAACGTTGTTATGACTAGTCTCGACACTTGCCAACGGTAGACGACAATGCGCTGCGCAGGTATACAGTGTGTTCCTTAATGATATGCGAATATTTGAGAGTCTGAATCTACATAAAAAATTAATGTCAGTTTGCTTTATAGACTATGGTCCAAAAATGTTTCCTTACAAAAACTCGGGGTATTGAAGTTTTAGGAAAAAAATGGAAATTAAATAATATTTTGGGTATTGACTTCAACATTTTTTAAGACAAAAACGGTACGCCAATGCTTTTTAGACAAATAAAAATTATTTTTGAATTCCCCGTTCAATTTAAAACAAATGATCTTGCTTGAATTGTTTTCCTTCGATGCGCCATTTTTGAGTAAAAAAATAAAAACCGTTCTATTGTCTAACTAGCTAAATTATTATTAATTTAATTGGAAAAATTAAACACATTAGAGGTAATGAACAACAACAACTGACAACATAAACATAACATTAAAACCAACGAAATGATTACAAAAGTTGTTGAAAATAACCCCCTTCACTTAGTATGCATGCTTCCGCCCTCCTTCTCATGGAATTGCGAACCCGTTGAAATATCCCTGGACTGTTTTTTATTCTATCACAAGCTGCAACTATTCTTTCTCTTAATTCCTCTACAGTGTTAATGGGACTCTTGTACACTAGTGTCTTAAGATAGCACCACAAAAAGAAATCTAAACTGATGGGGTCTGGGAACCTTGGTGGCCATTCTTGGGGCCCACCGCGGCCAATCCAACGATTTGGATAAACAGTTTGTGAATAGCTTACGAACCGCTACACTGAAATGCGCTAGTGCACCATTATACATGTACCACATATTGTTTTTTATTACTAATGGAACACCATCAAACAGCAAAGGCAACTGCTGTTGAAGAAAATTGAGGTAAGTCTGTCCGTCAAGTCGTCCCGGCGAGAAGAATGGGCCAATAAAGTGGTTGCCAATAATTTCTGCCCATACGTTAACCGAAAATTGGTGTTGGACATGGGTTTCGACTACGGCATGGGGATTTTCTTTTGCCCACAAATGATTATTGTGGAAATTCTGAATGGCATTTCGAGAAAAATTAGTTTCGTCCGTGAACAGAATCATTGATGGAAATTGTGGAATTTATGTATTTTTTTGAAGATACCACTGATAAAAGGTCACGCGCCTTGGAAAATCAATAGGAAGTATAATGCCTGTACTCTTCAAATATGATAAGGATATAACAAAAAATCCAGTGAAATTCTAAAAACAATTTGATGGCAAATATTTAAGTGTCTAGCGATCTTCCTCGTACTCGTTTCAGGATCTTCTTGGACTTCGTGCAGCACTGCTTCCTCAATTTCAGGTGTTCTCACACTCAGAGGTCTACCTTCAGATGTTCCTTTTCGGACAGAACCAGTTTCAACAAGACGACGATGAATATTAGAAAAGGTTACACTATCTGGCAAAGCACGATCGGGATATCTCTGGTGATAAATACGTCTGGCTTGCTCACCATTACCGTCGGCAAGGCCATATACGTAATACATTTCCGCCATTTCTGCATTTGAATAATTCACCATTATTAACAAGATTGTGAAAACTAAATAATGAAAAAGATGCCCCAGCGAACATATTTGACATATTCCAGAGCAACTAGATATTTATTGCTAAATTGGATTCTTCAATTATTAGAAAGCAACTCAAGAGAGATCATTTGTTTTAAATTGAACGAAGATTTCAAAAATAATTTTTATTTGGCAATAAACCATTGGCGTACAATTTTTTTCTTAAAAAATATCGGTCAATACCCGTACGCACGCCACTGTTAAATCTAATAATTATTTTTGCAACTTTATTAACTTCCACTACGTACTAAATATCAGTAAAATATCTGAAGCGGTTCTGAAAATGTTAATTAATTTTTTTTCCTAAATCTTCAACACCCCGAGTTTTTGTAGGGAAACATTTTTTGACCATTATAAAGCAAACTAACATTAATTTTTCATGTAGATTCAAACCTTTAAATATTCGCATATCATTAAGGAACACCCTGTATTTAAAAACTACGGGGGTGGAAGCGTTAATACACAATCGCGAAAAATTGAGATATATTCTCCCCAATACCCATTTATAAGCCCCTGCAATTATTTTTTGGAAAATAATCAAGAATTTCTGAAACGTTAAGAAATGAACATTAGACGATTTTCATTTTTTGATTTTCCGCAGCCAGTGGGCAGATTTCCAAAAATTATAACGCTTTTTCCTTCGCTTAGTCGTAGCGTTCTGTAAAGGTTTTATCAAAATCCAACAGGTACTTTCCAAGTTATAGCAGGGTCAAGTATTAGCAGACAAACAGATTGGCAAACCGACTGAGCGAGAACGCGAGAATCATGCAGAGCGATAGACGAACAGATCGGCCGACAGACCGACTGAAATAAGTGACATCGATTTTCGTGTAGCACGTACCACATAACATCCAAACACCTCTCTCCAAAAAAACATAATGAGCCGTATTCATAAAACAAAGGATATCCTTTTACTTGCACATTTTGAAGGAAATCCTCCAGACGATATCTATAATAATTTAAAGTAAATGCTTTTTCTTTTTGAGTATAAGCATATCCTTCAAAGCAGTGACATAAGTAAAAGGATTTTCATAATCTTCACCGAAAGGTGGTCAAACGATGATGGCGGAAATTGTGGATGTTAGGGATGTTAAAATGTACAAACCTCGTTCACCTTCACTTGGTCGTAACTTCAAAAAATTATATCGGCTCGACGAAGCAAAAGGTATAATGGCTTGCGGACAGATTTTTGGTTGAGAATGAGGAATCTCGAGGAGGAGCACTTTCATGTATTCATAAAATGACGATATGTCTACGCTATCTCGGTGAGCCTGGATATCAATAAGGTATTGGTCTGGAACTTGGTGTTAGTCAAGCAACGGTATCTCGGACTGAGGATAGAGTTATGAACAGCATAATTGCACAGTCGAACGAATGGATCAAGTTCCCAACTAAGAACCATGAACTGATAAAGGCCAAGCATGTATAAATTTCCGACAGCAATTGGTGTAATTGATTGTACACATATATGAATCCTGAAACCAACTCGCCATGGAGATGAGCCGAAAAGGGAAACCTACTTCAAATGTCCAAGCCACTTGTGATGCCAGAGAGATTTTCACAAGTGTTGATGTCAGTTGGCCTGGATAAGTGCATGATTCCAGAATATGGAGAAATTCACAGACTAGATCACAACTAATAAATAAAGCAAATGTTGTACTACTTGGCGATGACGGTTATGGTATTGAGCCTTGCCTTATGACTCCCTTCAGAAATCCTACTCCAGGTGCAGAAATAAATTATAAGCTTTTAAAACATAATAATATAATTGAACGCTGTTTCGGCCAACTGAAACGTCGGTTTCCTATCCTACAGTATGTTTTCCGCGTAAAGTTGGAAAATGTGCCGAAAATAATTATTGCTTGTGTTGTATTCCATAATATTGCGAAGAGCTTGGGTGATCCTAACTTTGAGTTTGTTGAACAAAACACAGATGAAGTTGAAGGAAATCATGAGAATGACAAATTTCCTCTCCGCCAACTAGGTCAACAAGTAAGAAGAAAGTATTATAATAAATAATTTTACTGATTAAAGTGTATTTATAAGTTATAATATGTTTTATTTTCGTGAACATCATAAGTTCCAGGTGGCTTCTGACGCTGTATCATTTCTAATTTCGTTTTATAATACTCTTGTTGTTTGGTACTGCTGTAATAGCACTAGACGTTGCAGTTCTTTTGTAGTTAACCCTTTGGTATCTTCAGTTTCGTATTTCTCTGTTGCTAATTTTCTTTTTGGTGGCAATGTCTTCTGAATTGCTGGCGCTGTAATACTAACTGTTTGCTCACTGCGCTCGGTATATAGTTCACTTCCTTCTTCTTGAACACTACCAACCTGAATGGCACCTCTAATTTTCTCAATTGTAGGACTACAGTCACCTTCCATAGCTTTCAGCAACTTTCTTTCCCAATCTAACAATTTAATTGCTTTATTACCAGTTTTTTTAGATCTGTTTTTTTTCTTCAATCCTAATTTCATGTTGTTGATTTTTTTTAATTATTCTCTAGTATCTAATGGTTTACCGAATGTTGATTCGTATTTTTTCAACATCTTCTTCAAGGCATCGTCATTTCTCATTTTTATTTTTGGAACTTGTGACTTTTGCAAAATGAGGAGGGCAATGGCAATTTCATCTGCGATGAACTGCAGGTCGTTGCCATTATTTTCTATAGTTTCCTCATCACTTGAGGATGACATGCTTATTAATTTGATAAAAAACTGTATCCAGTAAAAATACGGAAGCTCTGGAGTACAACTGTCAGTGATGCTGAGTGAACGAACTCCCACGTCAACTACAAGCTGCAACAAGTCAGGACATGTCGCTCAAGATGCAAATACCAGTCAACCTTTTACTTCTTTTTGGAGGGTATCCTCGCGAGTATAAGGTAATCATAATGAATATGACAACAAGGATTTGCCTATACTTCCACCGTTTTCTCTGAAGCAAGACCTTATACTTTTAACTTATGCTTCCGAGGATATGCTTCTCTTTTATGAATACGGCGCAATATCTCATATTCGAAAGTTTCGCGACTGCTGTACTTCCTTTCTAGTGGCGTGGGAAGTAAAAAGAAACCAATTTTTTACATATTTTCTAAAAGACGTGTTAGAATATTGTGTTTCAATATGCATCCAAGGTACAGAATTTCCATATTTTGAGAAAATCGTTATTCATTTAAGAGCCAAACAAGGTACCGGACTTTCCTCAAAACTGAATACACTACGATTCTTACCTTTCGCCATAGGAGAGAGCATCAAATAATGGACGGCAGAGCCTCCAGCACTCTCACCGAATATTGTCACATTATTAGGATCTCCCGAGAACTGCTTTATATTCCTCTGAATCCACTTTAGAGCCATAACCATGTCCTTGAGCCCCGCATTACCTGGCACACCGAGAGAGCCATCGTTGAGGGACAGAAAACCTAAAAAAAAAATGCGTCAAGTAGATTGGCTTTCGTTTCCGCCGTCTCATATTACATCCAAAAAAACGTAATATCTCAATTTGGAAATTTGTCGCGATTACAATACTTCCTTGCCAGCTTTGGCATAGAAGTAAGAATAGGCAAAAAATCAAACAAAAAACTCAACACAATATTGTGCTCATGGAACATGGAACACACTTACTAATACACACAATTTGTACACCTATAGAGATCTTGAGATATTATCTATGACTATTCAATTTAACATGAATCGCTTCTGCTGAGAAATATCAATCAGATTACTTCTATTGGTGAAAAATTTGAAGTAAAATCCATACAAAAAACTTCTACTCGTTCTTCGATGAAAGTGCGATGAAGTTAGTGTCGTTTTCCAATGAGGAATCATATCTCACCATAGAACAATTTTCATACTTTGTTCTTATCAATTATAACATCCTGTATGTTAGAAATAATCAGTTTTAGAATCTATGTTGATAAGAACATTTTTACTCAGTCTTGTATGTATTTTCTACAGTATAAATATTGCAATTTTTTTCTGAATCACCCAGTATACAACTTCAGCATCATCTAAAGTATATACAGGGTGTCCCTTAATGGTATGCGAATATTTAGGGATGTTTATAAACTATGGTCCAAAAATGTGGGGTGTTGAAGTTTTAGGAAAAAAATGGAAAATAATTAATATCTTCAGAACCGCTTCAGATATTTCACTGATATTTAGTATGTAGTGAAAGTTGATAAAGTTGGATATTATATATATATGAAAAAATAATACGCCAATGGTTTTTTGCCAAATAAAAATTATTTTTGAAATCTCCGTTCAATTTAAAACAAATGATCTCTTCAAAATTGTTTTCTTTCGATGCGCCATTTTCGAGTAAAAAAATAAAAACCGTTCTATTGACCGAGAAAATTAATGTAATAATTGAAGAATGCAATTTCTATTGTCTGACTTGCAAAATTATTATTAATTTAATTGGAAAAATTAAACACATTAGGGTAATGATAACAATTGACAACATAAACATAACATTAAAATCAACGAAATGATTACAAAACTTGTTGAAAATGGCCCCCTTCACTTAGTATGCATGCAACTGCTGAGGTCTGGGGACCTTGGTGTCCATTCTTGGAGCCCACCGCGGCCAATCGAACGATTTGGATAAACAGTTTGTAAATAATTACGAACCGCTACACTGTAATTCGCTGGTGCACCATCATGCATGTACCACATATTGTTTTTTGGCACTAATGGAACATCATCAAGCAGCAAAGAGAACTGTGGTTGAAGAAAATTGAGGTAAGTCTGTCCGTCAAGTCGTCCCGGCAAGGCCATTTACGTAATGCATTTCCGCCATTTGTGTATTTGAATAATTCACCATTATTAACAAGATTGTAAAAACTAAATAATGAAAAAGATGCCTCAGCGAACAGATTTGAATAACAGAGACTTGTCAGGTGTCTAAAGCCAGTGACATATTCCAGAGCAACTGGATATTTATTGCTAAATTGCATTCTTCAATTATTACATTAATTTTCTCGGACAATTGAACGGTTTTTAATTTCTTATTTTTTTACTCAAAAATGGCGCATCGAAGAAAAACAATTTAAGAATGATCATTTGTTTCAAATTGAACGGGGAATCCAAAAGTAATTTTTATTTGGCAAAAAACCATTGGCGTACTATTTTTTTCTTAAAAAATATCGAAGTCAATACCCGTACTCACGCCACTGTCATAGCTAAAAATTAGTTTTTCATTGAAAAATATGCAACTTTATTAAATTTCACTATGTACTAAATATCAGTCAAATACCTGTAGCGGTTCTGAAAATATTAATTAATTTCCATTTTATCCTAAAACCTCAACACCCCGAGTTTTTGTAAAGAAACACCCTGTATAGACCACTGTACCTAGTGACAAAGGAGTTGTTGCATTAGTAACGGTAGCGAAGTATGAGGACCGCGATACCCATGGGATTATAGAATACGACAAATCTTCTGTAACTCTCACCCATTAATCCCAGCCTATAGTTGAACGTCACAAGGATAATATCCTCCATCATCAGGTATTCTGGTCCATATATCGCGGCTTTACTAGAACCTGTCACATATCCACCTCCGTGTATGTATACCATCACAGGTTTCAATTTTTTAGAAGATAGCTAAAATAAGGAAGAACAATAGGAAAATAATGAATATTCTATTATTTTTTCTAGTTATAATATTCGTTATTGTCCCATTTTGTTGGTATGTGTACCTACGTGTTTTGTGAAAACATTCAAATATAAACAATCCTCCTTCCCGAAAAATTGCTTGAATGCCTTGGAACAACATTCATCGCATTCTGTCGTTGCATCTCTGACACCTTGCCACTTCCCTGCCGGCTGCGGAGCCTGAAATAAAATAATAAAGCACCAATAACCGATAATGGAATGCTATATGGAGATTTGAAAGTATCCGTCAAAAACGTTGAAAGAGATCGATTATTATCAAGAAGAGAGTTCTAGTCTAAAATGCTGTATGGGGAATGATTTTCGACTATTTTTTGAAAAACGTTATATGGTAGATATACAGGGTGTTAATGCTGGGCCGTAATTACAAGGGCGCATTACTGAAACAAATTTAAGTAGAAAAGTCTGGTTTCCAAAATTCAGTTCGTCAACGTTTAAAAAAATGCTTTTTATTAGTATTTCAAAGATCTTCTTATCTGATTTTGTTGAATTTTTTGGAAGTGTTATTCATCGCAATAAGACGCTAAGTTAGCACTAACTATAACATAATTATGAATTCTTGTGGCGTCTCAGGGAACAGTGTCGCAAATATTGTTGACAAAAAAATGTACGCCGATGATTTTTTTTAAATAGTCATATTTTGTCTAATTAAACAAGTTGTTTGTAACTTTTAGTTTCTCTTCGAATCCCCTCCTTTTTTAGGAAAACATGAAAACATCGCCATTACATGCCCAAACATTGTTGAAAGAACTGCAATTTCATAAACTGCTTAATCCGAAAAAACATGTATTTTATTAACAGACAGTGGAGACTGTCCCCCGAGATGACACTGGAATTCATAATAGGCTACTAACTTTCACGCAGTAAATGAGTATTTCTTACAGTATTTGCCGTAGGAAAATGAAACGAACTTTTTAAAAGCGCGAAATATGTCCAATTTAAAAAATAAAATATCATTTTAATTTTTATTTGAAACGGTGAAGACGTATGTCAGTCGTTAACCAGGGTCGTATTCTCTAAATACGGCTAAAAAAGTCATAGTCAACGTTAAAAGTTCTCGTTCTCTCGTTTTATTAAAAAACAATCAAACAATCATGGCCATAAGATTCGTAGAAGCAGAATGCGCAAATGCTGGGCTGAGGTACATCAACTTCAATGTTGTTCAGTATTGTGGCCTGTCGAAAACAAACATATTTTTTAAATTATTAAGTTTTACGGTTTCATAGGTCTCAAAAAAATAGTATTAATATTTTTGGGCTGATAAAACGAATATAAACTATCTAAGACCTACTTAAAAAAGTGTCACCTAGCCTATCATCTTCTAGTGCTAACTAAGCTCCTTACTGCAATGTACAACAATACTCAACAAACAATTTTTTATAAAGCTTTGACACCATGTATCTTGAAAACTAGACTATCAAGGGCACACTTTTCTGCTTAAATTTTGTTCGGGAATGCATCCTTGTAATTACGGCCTATTATTAAATAAATAATACCTGTACAACAGTTTTCGAGATACAGGATCCTCAACCTGGACAGTCCGTCCTCTATTCCAGTGTGTTATGGGTTCGAGACACGGTACGTAATGGTTGTTTCATATTTATTTGCATTTTTACCAGATGTTTCATCAACGCTGCAATTTTATCACGTACACTGGATGGCCCAAAATTGTATGAATGGGGTTTGAGAAACACTGCTTTAAAAATTGCTCTAGACCATCCTACACCAACCCAGTAGGAATACATATTAAAAATGCTCCACTACTGATTCGAACATGTGTTTCAAGGATTTAAATATATTTCATATTTGGATAGACATAAATACATTTTATGAGATATATATTTTTTCTAAAAACATGAAAGTATGCAACCCATATCTCGGCCACTTTAATATATAGAGTACAAAAGTCGCATTTTTAAACAAATCACGCTTGACTAGGTTTCTAAAAGTAGCTGAGAAATAGTGTGATTTGAAAATGTGAAAATACACAATGCACAATGCGCAATAAAGAAAAATGAATTATGCGTTTTTGAAAAGTTCTGTACAAATAATTGACTCGAACAATTCAAGGAATGGATAAACTAGGTATCAACTAATGACCATAAGGTCTCCTATTACATTAAATTCATTACCGCGTCTTTTAAAGAGGTCGAGGTATTTAATGCCTTCATTGTTTAGACAAAATTTAGAGTCTCAACTTCTACTCGACAAAATTGATCTGGTATCTATCAAATCAGCAATTTTCTTATGTAGGTCATTAGTCGAACACACTGTATAATCCTGAATACCTTTAAAATATATTCCTATCATGTGATAGAATTGCAATGTTGCTGATCTGGTCTGTAGGGATGATAATAAGAATATATCTCAATATTGTGCTATTACATAGTGTAATCTGTATCTCAGAAGCCACTCGTGGAAAAAAGTTATTCCACGTGTTGGGATCTTTGTCATAAACTTGACCGAAGCCATTCCCCTTAAGGGTTCTGCAGGGAATTTTTTGGAAAGCGACTTTTACGTGTGCTTATGTCGCCATAATCCTTTTTAGCCAATCCAGTTTAATCATTTGAATTTTAGAATGTGATATTTTCTGTTAATCGCCATTATTCTAAATTGTGGTCACAGTCCATTGCTTTGTTTCTTATATGTTTCAAGTTAGATTGATCATGCATTATTTCATAAGTAGTTGACTAGTTTATTATATTTTAGTGAATATCAGATATACGTTGTTTGGAAAAATAAGCTAAATAACTTAAATAAGTCGGTTAGCCAGAACTGATAGGAAATTCAGAAGTATTCAAGGAATTACCAGCTAATAACAAAAAAATATCCACTTTTATACATTACTGCAAATTACTAGTCACGAAATCATGCTGTATCATGAATCTATGTCACCGAGTTGGATAAATTTTATCCGTTACGGTTTCTCCACATATATCAAGGTTCTGTAAATTGCAGCTTTTGTAGAACATATAATAAATTGACAAATTATAAGATTCAGTTCTACTAACGCACATTTCCTGAATTATTACAATTTGTATTCGAGCTTACAACTATACGGGGTTGTCTAGTTGCGTTCTCTGGAGCGTATTTACATGCCGTTGAGAGGCTTGTACAGATTTCATGGCTTACTGAGATGTTTGGGAAAACTAAAATTTGCCCATATCATGTTTATTTCTGCTGACTGTATTTTGAGAAAAAAACTAATGAAACTTTTCTATTGTCACCTTTTAGGCACTACATGATGGTGTTTTTAAATTTTGTGTAGTAAGTACACCCTGAATCTAATAGCATTTTTTAAACGAAATATTATGTCACATGTTACATTAATTTTCATGGTTATAGGGGAAAATACGTTTTCTATTATATTTTTATTTTCTTTGAGTAGGCGTTGCAGATCAATACTTGACGTAAATACATGTCACGGAGTATTGTTGTTATTGTGTATTGAAAATAGCTTCATTATCGTCAAAGATGGCAGACGGTTATTTTAATAATGAACAAAAGATCGTTAAGTGCTACATTTTGTGCTACAAAATTACTAAAAATACTGCAGAAATGATAAGAATCTTGATAAACTTCCCGAAGGAAAGCAGCCAAATAACTCCGTTTTCTTAGAGCGGGCTCGAAATTTAATATATGGTGCATTCAAAAAGCTTATTACGTCTCGAAAAAGGAAAATTTTGCGAAAACTCAGAATTTTGTGAGTGGAACACACAAACGTGTGAAGAAGATTTTAATTTCTCTTTAAAAATGGTCCGACGAGAGTATGGTAACTACTAATGTATCTTTAATCGCCGTAGCAATCATTACTGAGCTCAAGAAAATCTCCGGGCTAAGTATCCAGACATCAAGAACGTTTTGGGTTTAATATATGGTGTAGAATTCTAGGGACCAAAATATTAGGTCCATTTATCTATCACAACTGATTAACTGCAGAACCTCCAATTGCTGCAACATGATCTAGAAGACTGGACAATTTACCTTTGGCACAGGTTAATGGATGTTGGTTTTAACAAGACGATGCTCCTGCATAACTGTAGGCAAGTTCTAAGGAGTATTTCTTAGCGATTTCCCGGAAGCTTGATTAGAACCATCAGTGAAGTTTCCTGGCCAGCGCGTTCCCGGACTTAAGTCCTCTGGACTTTTCTGTTTGGCGTTTAATTAAAAACCTAATTCATCAGCATACTTTTAAAACGAAGCAGCAGTTGAGAGAATGTGTAATGGAAGCATTTAGTATGATTTCACCAGAAATGATACGTGATGGTTTGAATTGTACGTTAGAATATCATATTTATGTTTAGAAAATACTGGCAACCTATTGTCAATAAAAATGGAAATAATGATAAAATTGAATTCCCTATTCTGAACACCATGAGATTAAGTGTAATTTTATAAGATTTTAACCCGATCATATCATCATTTAATCGCATAATTTTACATAAAGCAATTGTTTGCAACGTCTACTTAAATAAAATAAAAATTGAAGAAAACACATTTTTCCTTATAACTAATAAAACAAATGTAACAGGTGATACATCGTTGAATTCATAGAAAAATATGGTATCAGATTCAGAGTGTTCTTTTTCGGACAATATAAAATAATAAAATTGTTGATGGTTTCTCAAAAACGACCCGTCGGGCACAAAATTTAATAACACCATGTAGTGCCTAAGAAGTACCAATGAAGAACTTCCATTAGTTGTTTGATTTTTTTTCGATGAAGCTAGAAAAAAATAAAAACGATTTAGGCAAATTTTAGTTTTATCCAAATACCTCAGTAAGTCATGAAATTTTTACACGTTTTTCAATGGCATGTAAATACGCCTCAAACAACGCAGGTATTATGATTCCCATGAATAGGATCCTTATCGTATATTGTATATCGTATATCGAAAAAAATGCATATACGCGTACTTTTAACCACTGACACTTTGTAACTTTGTAATTTTCATGTTTTTTGGATAAATAAAACCACATAGCACATGTACTCGTATAGGAATAACTCCTTACTAACACTTCGGGAACCTCGGTGGTTTATTTAAAATACCGTATTGTCAACGTTAATGTAACATCTGGAACTCATCCTGGTTTACATGTCGATAATCCCCCATGCTTCTCTGGCCAATAAAACCACATGTATTTACAAAATTTTCTTTGCCGTCAACCTCGGTACAATGACAATATATTTTATTTATCCATCTTCGAGGTACCTCTTCGTTTTTTCTTCTTAATAATGAAAAGACACTATAAGATATTAATCATTCTGCGATAACGGTTCTTGAATATCTTTTACATTTTTCTTGTAAAACTACCACCTATTTTTATTGGGACACCATGTATAATTTGCATGCATCTACTCCATCATCCCAAATTTTAACGTGGTATATAATACGAGGGGGTAGCCAAGAAAAACAGGTCTTAGAAGCCATTTATTTTCAACTTTTCACAAAGTAACCTTATCTCCTTCAAAATACTGTCCACTACTTACGGATGTTGATGGACGTCCAGAGCGTGGTTTGTCATCAATCGACATTTTTAAATCGAGCAAACCACTCGTAAACCTGAATTTTTCCCATAGCATCATCTTTGTGAGCTATTTTCAACATTAAAACAGTTTCAGCAGCATTTTTACCAATTAGAAAGCAAAATTTCACAGCTGCACGTTGCTCACTGAAGCTTGCCATCGTAAAAAACGAAACAAGCACGAAACAAATAATGACTACAGAGGAACTAAAAAAGCCAGATCGACAACTCGGGTGGCACTGAACTGGTAATGAGTTGCACTGTACGCCTCTAGGGGCAGAAATGTGTATACACAAGCTCCGCCCACTGCAATGCGATTCCGGTTATTTTCAGCTACCTCCTCGTATATGTTGGAGAAACGCGTTTTTATTATTACTTTGGAGAGAAAGGCATATTTTTATTTAATCTATCTACCTTTACGCATAGCGAATGAATATAAAAATCATATTCGATTCCAAGACGATTAACTGCGCCTCTGCTTTCTTGATAAATTTTAACGAGGAGGTAGCGATAAATTTATAATTATCTCAACGAGCCTGCACAATAACTCCATAATCTCAGATTTCAATATTTAATTTACATACAACTATTGCTGCAACCTTAGATAAGATGCAAGCTCATCATATCTCTGTGTGTACAATTGTTCAATGTTTTATATTCCATCAGTTATTTGATAAAAGGTGCAAGAATGACATCGAATATTCATGTAGGAAAATCATTTTAATGCATTTTATCATATACCTACACAAACAGACGTATATATTCCAATTATAATATCTCAAGTGGAACCATGAATGGAAGCGGCAGATATGTAGAAACATTAATATACGAAATCTGGAGACTGGATGTAATAGTCACTTGATCAACTTTCTGTCATATCTTGTTTTTTAATCGCACAGTTCCGATAAAGAAGTCACTATAGCAGAATTCAAAATTAGTCGCACAGATTGAGATACCTTAAATTTCAAGTATGGGTGACAACTGTTTTTGAATTAATTAGATATTTATAGAAACGTTATAGATGTATAATTGTTTTTATTCATTAGCAAACATGATGATATCTTAATAACATAATAATCCAAAGTAAATTGTAGTTCTGAGAGGTGATTTCGCCAACATTGGTATTGGTAGATTTTTTGATAAAACAAATTTTAAATGATTACGTTTTCTTAAGTAACGATCCAGTTATTTTGATCTATATTATTATTATTATTATTAAAATCTATGTTGTATTGCTTATTCCAATACTTGTTTTTTTTTCACAGAAGCGGCCGAGCAGGCAGAAGCCTAAATGCCAGGGCACCGCTACGAGGAGCTTAAAGAAACGTTCCTAATCTGATTTTAGAACTGCCTGATGTTTGTAGAACTGGGAAAAGTCTTCTCGTGCAGATTGTTTGACAATTCGATACTCTAGGGACAAAAGAGCGGTCGATAGGTCAGTTTTGAATGTACAAAGTTTGACACGGTCAGGATGGAAGACCGAAGTGAGGCGAGTATGTCTGGCAGGCACAGCGCTAGGCGGTATCATAGAAAAGAGCTCTGAGGAGCAAATTTCATCGGCGTAGCGGTAGAAGAAACGGTCTGCTAGAAAAGAGTCATCGATCAGTCGGACAGCTCTCCTAAGCCTAAAAAAGCTAGCTTTTTCCCAGCAGCTGCCGTTATTGACGAGATTTGTTCGTTCCAGATCAGGTCCTCGGTGATCTGGACTCCGACCAGCCGGAATGAACGGCTCTTTGGTAGCACTCGGCCATTCATCAAAACCGGATGAGCAGTTGGACGCTTTTTGTTTGTCAATGTACAGTAGTACTGTAGTACTGTGTTTTGGAACCATTAAATTGTACAAGATTTTTACGTCTCGGATACCCTTAGAAACACTATCTTACATATCAAAGTGATTTCACCATTCAAAAGGCCAAAGACATGCATAGCACAATGTTTTACAACGTTGAATTCATTGCAAATCCTATAATGACCTAACAGGCGTATCAATTCGTCGCTGTATTTGGACTGTTACATAGTTTGCGTGTCAGAATTTCCAAAAACTTGCATAGAATGCAGTATAGGTGATTAGAGGGTATTGGAAAACGATCTTCCTTCATTTCTCCTTTTTGGAAAAGCGAGATTGTTCGTATGTTTAGATTCAACAAGAAAGAACTATGGACCTAGAACTTCTGTATTATGTCTATGATAGAGCTTAAAA